AGCTCACATCAACAGGAGTTGTTTACTATTTTGTCTTACGTTGCTAGGTGGTTGCTAGGGAGCTAAGGATACTCTCTTGCGTGATCATTTGCACTTGTTTTTCCTCATTATATCGACATGTTGCTGTTTCTGAGAACTAACTCATGCTAAGAAAGAAAGCAGTTTTCTTAAAATGTGTATTTAAGTGCCGTAGTATTAACACAGCTCTGCAATTCTGCTTAAATATCTGCAAAATCCTGACTTCCCGGAAAATTGTTGGTGGTGATGGGGATCGAGCCCGGCGATGAAAAGTAAGTAAATATGCAAAGGCTTCAAAACGTTATTTGTTGTTGTTCTGTGAAATAGCAATGCAAAGACCGATGATAGTGCCAGTGTTGAGCTTTCCAATGAAGCATTGCAATTAGTAGTAAGGTTATTATCACCTAAGATATCTTCCATCAAATATTAGAATTCCGCCATTGTCTTGCTGTAGAACAGGGTTACTTTCAGTCTCTTGGGAACACGATTTGCATGTCTCAGATCGAAAAACACTTCAAAAGGCGGTAATAGAAAATGAAATTTCCCACCTGATAGCATCTCGGGTTTTTATATATCCTGTCCAGAATTTTCATAAATCAGACGTAAAAATGGCCAATTTCGTCAGATTCCGAATTTTTGCCATTGGGTCTAATGTAAAGCATGGCTACTTTCAGTCTCTTGGGAACACGATTTCTGTACCTCAGATTGAAAACAACTTCAAAAGTCGCAGATAGTAGACGATTTAATTTACAAGATAGCATCTCGCTTTTTTCTGTATCTGGTCATGTATCTTCATAAAACCTTCTCAATTATAGTCAATTTAGCATTAAAGTCTATGGATTTAGAATAATTTTCATATCCGACTAGATTTGGGCTACCATGTCTGTTGACCGGGGGCCGGTACGACCGACAACCCGTCGGGGCGAATTTCGCACTGGGGTACTCAAAATTTGAAGAATTTAAGACGTTTCCATGAGTTTTGAAGGTATGGATCAGTTCTAAAAATCCGGTTCTCCTTATCTGGGCCATTAACTCCATACGGTCCAGGAAAGCTGGCACACTACCTTTAAAGATGTGCCTAACCTAAAAAGCGGATGAAATAGTTGTTTTCAAAAGTTTCGCGCGCCTTCGGCGCAGCATTTCAAGAACACTTCTTAAGCAGGAACTTAGTACCTATGTCAATCACTTGCAACCTTTTTGTCACGCGGGAGATCAAGCCAGTTATCTTGATTCAAAGCTGCGCCAGGACCTTTCTTCAGACATGCGGTAAAAAAGGAAAAGGGTGCCACTACGAGCTTCCGATTTTCGTGGGGGGGGGGGAGAGCAGGAGGGGCACACCTTTGGTACATTGCTCTTACACGTATTCTAAAAAATGCAAACCATAGTCGCTAAAAGCAAGACTGACCAGGCCATGTCAAGTGACTTAACTTTAAAAAAGTTTTAGGCATAGTCACTTAAAGGAAATAGTTCACATTTTAACATGGGTTTTGAACTGGAATAGCAGTTCCGTAGCTTGGGCTGAGACGAGCATAAATCAGGAGCTTTTACAGCCCAACGATCACCCTAGGCAAAGATATTCTATTTCTCGTCCCGAAAAATGTGTCTTGCGTTGAGGATGAGTGCCTTGCATATATTCGCATCCAGTATGAAACGAGCATGGGTCCCGAAAATTCTTCAGAAACTAGAGAAATTATCTACGAGAACTCTAGAGAAATTCGCTCCAGTGAGGCGCTCCAGTAACAAAAGCACGAGCAGATCGCCCAAATGCCGGTGGCCGCGATAATTTCTCTAGTTTCTGAAGAATTTTCGGGACCCATGCTCTTTTCATACTGGATCGCGTGTGCCTTACAGAAACTGAAAAGTTCTTCCTATATCAAAAATATAGAAAATAATATTTTGTTATAAAAAGGTTTTATTTTCTTTGCTGATCATTTTGAACATAAAAAATTACAAATCCATTGCAAAAAAAATAATTTCGTGAAAGTGAACTATTTCCTTTAAGCTGAGCTGGTGACTTGACCAATTAGATCGATAATGCATCGGCCTGAAAAGGTACGGTAACAATGCCTACTTTTGAGTTTTTTAGTCGGCCGATCCGTCCCCATTGCAAGTAGTTGTACAGAGTGGGGGCTGTCGAGTAGTTAATGTCATTGCTCAGCGCCCCTACGTGTCTTGGTGGGCAGTTGACAAAGCTTCGGTTGCAGCTGCAGCCGCCAGAGTAAAGGTGTCGGGGTGGACCGGTCTGCAGTGCAGGTGAATGAGGGCCGAAGAGACTGCCATAACACAGGAACTCGTTACTCGCGTCATATGAGCGCACGTGTGTGGCGTCTTTTGCCTAAGCTGCCGAGCGCTGGCTGCATAGTGCTTACGAGTTACGAGTATGGTACGACAAGCTTTAGCATCGCAGTCAGTTCACCTGTACCGATTGAGAGAGAGAGAGAGAGAGAGAGAGAGAGAGAGAGAGAGAGAGAGAGAGAGAGAGAGAGAGAGAGAGAGAGAGAGAGAGACTAGAGAGAGAGAGAGAGAGTCAGAGAGAGAGAGTTAGAGAGAGAGAGAGAGAGAGAGAGAGATGCCTTTTTTCTATTTTTTTTCGCTGGCACAATAGTGCCTACGAAAAAAAATTCATGACGCACTCCCAATAACTAGTTATTATATTAGGAGTGCGTCACTCCCTCAATTATCACAATCACACAAAACACATCGATGGGAGGGAGAAAAGATAGAGGGATACCTCTATCTTTTCTCTCCCCCTCATCCTCCCTCTTTCCTACCCCCCCCCCCCCCCCCTCTCTCTCTCTCTCTCTCTCTCTCTCTGCGCTCTCTCCGTTTATTCTCCATCTCCGTGCACCCTGCATTCTGCACTCTGCACGACAGAGGCTGCAGTGGCGTCTGGGGCGCAGCACCGGCCGAAAACCAGTTTTTGTCCGCACGGCCGGGCCGGGTGGTGGAGCGGGCAGCGCTGGCTGACTGACAGTGGGACGGAACGACGGCCGGCGACGCCACGCCACCGTCCGCTGCGGCTCTGTGACTCTGTGTGTGATATCCCGGTCAGAGTGTGAGACGGTGACCGGTCAGGGCGGGGTCGGAACGTCACGTGACCCTCCCGGTGACCGGAGTGTTCGCCGCTGAGCGGAGGAGTTCGGAGGAGTTCGGAGGAGTTTGGAGGAGACACATACGGCTGGAGCTTGGAAGGTAGGTGTTTGACGTCACCACGGCACTCAGCGGGGTCAGGGAGTGGTCAGTGGGTGGTCTACAAAAGTGGAGCTGGAGTGTGGGATTGATCCATCAGTGAGTGGTGTACAATAGTTCAATCGCAACGGGAACGGTCAGTGGTCCCTGCTGGTGAGCGGGGCAGCTATATCGGGGAGTGGCCATTGGTCTTTCTCGGTCAAATATTGATCTGATTTAAACCGAAAATGGCAATTGATCAGTGGTCACTGGTCCCACCCGAATCGAGAAATTGTCATTGGTCAACGATCAATGGTCAGTGATTTGTAACTATTGGTCATTGGTCAGCTGCCAGTGGTCAGCGGTCAGTTGTCAGTGATCAATGACCAGTGGTCAGTGTCAGTGGTTAGTGTCCAGTGATCATTCGTCATTGGTCAGAAGTCAGCGTCCAATGACCTGCGTCTCGTGGTCAGTTGTCTGTGATCCATGGCCATTGATCAGTGCTCACTGATCGAAGGTCATTGGTCATTGGTCAGTGGTTATAAGTCAAAAATCAGCGACTTTGAATTTTGATCAATGGGCAGCGGTAAATGATCAATGGTCAGTGGTCAGTGATCAATGGTTACTAGTCGGTGATCAGTGGGCTCATTGATCAAATGTCAGTGATCACTCGGTCTGACCTTGGCGAGACCACATATCTCCCTCAGGGACCGCGATGCCGGGTTGTTGTGATTTGTGACCGACTTAAAGGGACCCTCCCACCTTAACATTAGTTTTGAGTTGAGATAGCCAAGTTTGCGGCCAGGCTCAGAAACCACCATTTATCCTGGTCGCAACCCCCGCAGCTTTATGGTGTTCAAGAAATTTCTTCCCTTTACTTGCAGGGTGGGACCAGCGTGGTCCCTATCTCTTAACCATTACGGGAATCTGATGACGTCATCAGGCTTTCGAACGTCCGTTAAATGTTTGACTAAAACGTTTTGTAGCACGCTGTGGTATATGCTGCTTTGCGCGCAACAAATGCCGCACTTTCAAATAAAGTCGCTAGGAACAGCGGAGATCCCAAAAAGTAAACAAAAGTAAAAGTCTAATATCTTGAAAACCGGTGAATATTTTTCGATGAAATTTGGTAGATATTCGTTTTTGCTCTTTCTGAACCGAGCGACATCACTTTCATGCCAATTCATTAACTTTTTTGAAGGTGGGAGGGTCCCTTTAAGACGTCCTTCGTTCAGAATTGTATATTTCGTTAGGTATGTTATTACAACGTCCGAGAGCGCGAAATGACGAGACTTGGTCTTGGACCTAATTTCACGAGAAATGAATGCCAACTGCCTGACACTTGACAGTGGTTCGCCTGGACGCTGCGATGTTAATTCGGCATAGAATCTGACGCCCGTGACCTGAAGGGCCCTTATCATCCGCGTTCATTTCGGTCGGCGATCCACACAACCTTATAAGGTTAGGAATAACAGAGACAACTTGAAATTAGTGTGCAGATGACGATGACGTGAGTGTGACGCCCGATACCCAATGCTCATATCATGGATTTTGTCACCTTTTCGGGCCGTCTTAGACCATTGCGGGGCGGCCGCCGGCGTAGGAGGGAGTTTGATAATGAGCAGCAATTGACTCGACCACCGACTTGGTGCGCCGTGCCCGTGACCGCCGTCGCCGAGCACGCCCCGTTTGGGCACTCCCCGGTGGAACAGGACATGCATTGCACCCATCCACTCAAACGGCTCCGTCCCCTCCCATCCATCACTATCTATGCTGCAGCGGGCGGGCAGGGCCGGCCGGCCCTCACCCCAGCCAGTCTCGAGCGCGGCCGGCCGGTGGCGCCACCTACAATGACGTCACGTGTCCCTGCCGGCCGGCGATTCAGCCCCGAGGCGCCGGCGGCGGTGTGAGACGCGCTGGCGGCTGGAACGGGTGCTAGTCTGGCCGGTCTGTGTGGGGAGACAGGCGGGGGATACAGTGCGGACAGGCTGGTGTGATCTGGTGCGGCCTCAAGGTCACCTTGGACGTGGAAGAGGCGGCGTGAACCAGGGAGTCACTACACAGGTGAATCGAGTGTCCTGTGTCTGTCCAGTGCTCACACCATCCATGCCCCAGCCCTGTCTGAACCGGAGGGTGGCTGACGGGTCCACTGGCCGGCTGGCTGGGCCGCGGCGCGTGACTCCACTGCGGGCACAGGGACCGGGCCGGGGGAGGGGCGCGGTTGGACATCCCCTATAAGCACGGCGGACGTGATCACCCGGCACGTCCGACCGCACAGGACGTGACGTCCGAGGATGCCCAGCTGTAATAGCGGATGTGACGTGACGTTATGACTCCCATGGGCCCTCTGCCGACCGTCAGTGCCACAAACTCGCTGTCATTGGTCCAGTCCTGCTCCAGTTTTCACGCGTGCCTCATTTGTCCGTGAGAGCAAATTAACCAGTGTTTATGAAATCTAACACGCTTTGTGTCGATAAGGAGACTGTTCTCGCTGTTTCGAGGAACAGCGAGCGGAAGTTGTTTGCGTCTTTGTCATGAGCAAATCGTGCAAATTGTGATGGAGGCGTCCCCGCGTCCATGGTTACTGTCCGTGCATTGGAACAATGAAAAGCTGCACTTTCCAAATCCTAAATCTGTTCGCTTCTGCTGTTGTTTTAGTTCCCTCTCATAACTGGTCGAATGTCGCTGGGTCTTTATTTATCCTCCCTCTGTTGGCTCTTCCCCTGGCTTTTTACAGTATGTGGGTACGGAACCGTCTGCGTTTGTCCTGTCCCGTGACCCGTTCATTTGCCTCGAAGTCTGTGCCCTAGTCCATCCTAAAAGTCTCGAACCGTCTCGAATTCAGGGAGATATCACACGTTTGTCACGTGTTTGTGTTCTTATACCGAACGGCGAAAATCACCCTTTTTGTTGTTTATCTCCTATGCTTTTTTCGGGCAAAATGTCTCTCATAGCCGTTTACCAGTAGGTGTGGTCGTGCAGCATTCCAACGGGTCCCGGCGCCCAGCACAGTTCTCCCAAACAGCACGCCGCTCACTGTCCGAGTCGCTGGTCTCAGCTTGTGTGTGTGGTGACCGCTGATAAGTCAGCAGATTCAGCAGGCTGACCGCGCACGACCCTGGGCCCGGGCGCCGGCACCGACCCGTACAACACTGCAGACTCAGCCCGTGCAACATGTTTGGAAGGGACGCCGGACGCGAACTGATCGTCCCGAGCCCAACTCTGATCTGTAATAACTCGTTCCGATCTTTCAATCATTAGAGGTCCGGACAGTGTTTGAACAGGGTTCGGCCTTTGGTTCTCTGACACTATGATGCAGTCTCCACCAGCCCAGCATTTTTGCTGGGCGCGGCTCCGACCCGACCCATCCAACCAGACACAGCCACCAGCCGCCAGCCGCCGGGTCGGTGATAACGGTCTACTGGCCGGGACCGAGTCGGCCGGACCGGGCTGGCGACAAGGTCACGTGGCATCAGCGGCCAGCCGGGGACGCCGGCAGCCGGCCCGTGACGCCCTGAGCCGCAGGTCACGTGACCAGGTCAGGCCTTGCGGGGGACGGGGGCGTGCCGGCGCCTGCTCCTGGCTGCAAGGGACAGGGTGCGTTCGGGGAAGGAGAGGAAATGGAGGAATGGCGAGGGCTACTGCAGGCTTGGATGCAAGCGAGACGGAGCGATTTGCGTTGGCAACAAGGCTTTGTTTATACTTACGGTGGTGCCATATTTCCTCAGCCACTTTAACATATTCGGCAATCTTTTATAACAACTAAAAAGTAGACGGTAGGCGGGAGCACATATCCAATTCACGCCAAAGGTTGATTCTCGCATGATTGGAGTAAACGGTGGCTATAGGTAGCGAAACAATTAAATTCATCTCGGTTATTTTCCTACACTATCGTACCTGCAGAACTCGGCTCTGTTTTTCGTTCACACACAACTACTACAGGGTCTTTCATAATGAATGTTACTTTTGAAAGAGCTATTTCTCAGGACATATATGTTCCTCATGTAATATGTGCCATCACATGAAACAGAAACAGATTAGCGTTTTTGCACACACAACTTTCATTTTAATGCTCCTCAGGAATTTTCCACTGACTGAGGAATTTTCCACCGCGCCCTGCTGGGGGGGGGGGGGGGGGTGTTTGAACACCCCCCCTTGTGGTTTTTCGCGCGCCGCCGTTTTTGGTACACCTTATCATACATCAATTCTACACATGTTGTGAAAATTTCAGACCAAGGTCATTCAAGGTCAGGTCACCAGGTCACTTGAAGTGACCTCACCTCATAAAAAGTTTCAATGTCTGTCATAGCTACACCGAGTGACCGATCGCTTTGAAACTTTCAGCGAATGCTAAGAGCAATAACATGTACAAAATGTATATCTCAGAATTTTGATGTCGATGACCTGAGGTCAGGTCAATTTTGCGACCTCCCCATTATAAGTCAACGGGAGAAAATTGAAATGCGCCGCTTTTGGACGAAAGACATTATAAACACTCCCAAACACCGAATTACAAGTGTTTTAGACACATCGAACATGAAAATGGTGTCCGTGACCCTTGTTTATGCCCTGAGGTCATCTTAGGTCACGAATGGTATCTAACAGTTTTTCGCAAATAACTTTTGATAGAGGCATGCTAGAGCGATGAAAACGCCTTAGATGTGTTCAGCTCGACGACACGGATCGACTGATATGCAACATGACCCTTTCCGGTCAGGTCATGACCTTGACCTGAGGTCAAATTTTCAAGTTGACCTTTCAAGGTCAAATTATAGTTCATTCGATGCGTCTTGACGAGAGGAACACGATGCCGGTAAAAGTAAGCTCGTACAAGGCTTGGGTCAAAAGTTATTGCAGAAAAACTGTTTCCGAAAAAATCGGCTATTTTTGCAGTTTTTGCCCCCTGCAGGCAAAACCGTTGACGTTAGGTCAAATCTGAGAGAATTACTCAGAAAGGGCGTTAATAGGGCTATCGAATGCGCTTTTCCGCGGCGCTGTAGCTCTATTGGTTCCCGAGTTATGCGTTGGCTTCTTGGAAATTTTCGACATTCGACCTGGAAATCGGCGAAATTTTGCCTTCAATGACCTCTGGTGACCTGACCTTTGACCTGACCAAAAAATTGACCGAAGTGATTTCGTCATTATTTTTGACGCTCTTTCGAACGCCGCCGTCCGCGTATCGCTACGTGGCCCAGGAGCCGAGTTACAAGGGGGGGGGGTGTTCAAACACCCCCCCCCCCCCCAGCAGGGCGTGGAAATCCAGGACCCCCAGCCGGGCGCGGGTTAATTAAGGCACACGTTTCGGCCCTCTGACGAAGGTGTCGCACCCCGCGCCCCACAACGTCTGGGTCCAGGCTTCCAGCAAACCTCTCCACTATGGTTCGCAGTGGATGGCTGCAGGAGGGTTTTTTTTTCTCAGATCTGCCAATGCGACTCCCCAAAACCAGTAGTCCAGCGGGGAGAGAGGTCAGTACTCCGTGCGGCCATGGTCGCTCCGCGCTCGGTGAGGCGGCTGATAACGCGCTCTTCGAAATTTTCGATCAGCCACTGGCGCAACGGCTGCCGTGGTGTGCACTGTGGCACCATCCTGCTGGAACCATAGGCCGTCTCTTTGAACCTTGTCCCTGACCTGAGGCAGAAGCATTCCTTGAGCAGCCTGAGGTAGGCCACCCCGTTCAGTGTTGACCCAGGGGAGAGCCAATGGATGAAGACTTGTCCGTCGACCGTAATCCGTAATGCGTTTTGGTGGTGTCGACATAGGTACTCTGCTTTTGCGTGAAGGAAAATTGGCGGTGTGAATTTTTTTATTTTTTGGATCAAAACCCTAATCAATTTGCAACAATACGCATATAAAATTCACGCGGAAGTGATAAATTAAAGGGACACTCCCACCTTAACATTAGTTTTGAGTTGAGGTAGCCAAATTGGTGGTCATGGCCTGCAAATACCGGTTTGGGCACTCACAACATCGAAAAATGCTTTAATTCGAAGATATGGAATTTCAAACTTGCAGTTTTCGGATTCTAAGGGGCTAATGCATTGGAATGCCCCCTTAGAATTTGTGACGTCAGCGGAGATCTAACGATTTTTAAATCTTAGACTAAAACCATCGTTAACACGTGGTGGTATACGCTGCTTTGCGCGCAACGTCTGCCGCACTTTAAGGCTGCCAAATTATTGCTTCCAAATAAAGTCGCTAGTAACAGGGGAGATCCCAAAAAGTAAACAAAAGTAAAAGCCTAATATCTTGAAAACCAGTGAATATTTTTCGGTGAAATTTGTTAGATATTCGTTTTCGCTCTTTCTGAACCAAGGGACATCACTTTCATGCCAATTCATTAACTTTTTTGAAGGTGGGAGGGTCCCTTTAAGAGCTCCTAACTAAATGTTCAAAAGTAACATTCATTATGAAAGACCCTAGGTGCCTTTGTGCCACTGTTTTCACTTCGTATTTACCTTTTGTTCAGCCGATCGCGCGTTCCACATGATTGTGAGAACTGTGAAGTGCCAGACACTTCACAAACGGCCAGCAAGGTCAGGCGACCCCGAGCCCAGCTTTGCATGCTTTACGGGTATAAAATGTGTGTTATAAACCGCCGGAGTGCACAAACTACCGCACCTTTTTCCACACGAGCTTTTCAAGGTGCTGACCCGTAGAAGGATTATGCAAACGGACACATTGCATGATCAGACAGACTACATTGCAATATTGTGAGAGCGATGAGCATGTTTATGTAGGCGAACTCATGGCCCCATCCGTCTGTCACGATATGCTGTAGATACAAAGCCGATCGTCAGATTAGCTATTATGTGAATGCCCTGACGCTCAACGTTACATTGCGTTCACTTTTCGGTGTGCAATGGCATATGCTGGCGGCGAGAGTGAACAGTCCTCTTTTGGACTCGGGGATAACTGGCTCTCAGGAGACGCCCGCCATCGGCTGGTGTTAGCGGCGAGTGGCTCTGCTCGGCTCTGCTAGCTCTAAACTCATGTGCTTTGTTTTGTGCCCGTGTGGCTCTCTGTTGGTGCTAAGCTCCTGTCTGATCCCCGCTGCTGCCCGGCTCTCTGTGAACTGTGGCAGCGGGTCGGGCATCGCTCTCAGCTCGGCCGGCCGCGCTGCTGGATTTCTGCACCCGGCCGCAGTCCCGCCGCGCCCCAGGGTCGGTCGGTGCTGCCCGGCTCCTCATACCAATGCGGTCCGATTTAGCCGTGGGGTCGGCCCGCTCCGTCGAGATGGTATCTGGGCTTCTGGTGCGGGTCGCCCGGCCCCGCTCTCACCCTATACTGGCGGCGGTCGGGCGGTCGGTCGGCCGGTCGGTCGGTCGGTCGGTCGGTCGGGCGGGCGGTCGGGCGGTCGGTGACTGTCGGTCGGGCGGTCGGTGACTGTCGGTCGGTCGGTCGGGCGGTCGGCCGGTCGGTCGGTCGGTCGGTGACGGTCGGCGGCGGTCGGGCGGTCGGTCGGTCAGTTGGTCGGGCAGGCCCGCTGCTCACCAGTGGGAGGTCGCTCTGGCCCGGCCCGAACCGTCCGCCGGCTGTCATCGCCCGCTGGACCGACTGGAGGGGGCGTTACGCCACTGGGGTGCAGGGGGCGATGGGCAGGGACAGCTCACACTCAGCCCAGACTTGGGCTCAGTGCAGTCCCACAGGCTGCGCGAGCAGTTGGTAGGTCTTGTCATCATGTCACTCGGCCGTCCAGTTGGTCAGTTTTCTGATCCCTCAGCGCTCCCATTAGTAATTAAGTCGATCTGCCAGGTCCTTCTCCGTCGCGCCACCAGCTCCCTCAGCTATGTTGATAGCTGATAGTTGATAGCTCAATATTCTCTCAGCTCTCCGCCTTCAGTCTGATCTCAACTCCCCTGTCCGGTCGGTCGGTTCCTCCCCCGGGTTCGCCCCTTCTCCCTGTCGTCAGGGTTCGGTGTTCCTCCTTGTGGTCAACGTTCTGCGGTCACCCCCTCTGTCGCGGTTCTGGGGAGCCTGCCTCCCGTCTCTGACCGAGCCTGGCTCCCGTCTCGAACCGAGTCGTGATGACGCAACTGTGGGCCGAGCGTGCCCGCCTGCCACTGCACCACTGCACGGTTCGCCGCCGTTCCGATCACGACATCAGTGTACTTATTTACCCTAAAGCCCTGCACGGCAGCGCACGGATAGGCGGATGAACGGACGGAAAGACGGACTGGCGAGTGGCGGTTGGACGAGGAAAATAGACGGACGGACGAATAGACGAGGAATGGACGAGCTGACGAGTGGACGAGAGACAGACGCATTGGCGAAGGGGCGAGGCTATGAATAGACGGACTGGCGATTGGACGGATAAAATGACGTACTAACGGACGGATGGAAAAACGACCAGCTGGAATGTCGTGGCAGCGTACAGAGAATATACAGGCAGGCAGCGGGGCAGAAGAACGAGCAGGCTCACCCCTGACGGACGAATGAATGAATGGACGCAGGACGGACGGACGGACCGACGGACGGGCAGCCTGAAGGACAGACAGTTGAACGGACGGACGGACTGGCCAACAAGCGGACTGACGGAAGGAAGTGGCGCTGAAAAATTGTCTCGGCCCGGTGTGGCAACTGCAAACAATGGATTTCGGACTCGGTCGTGAGACGTGCCTCGTATGTTAACTTCCAGTAAACCAGCTACAGAGTAAACAGTAGGAACAGTGTGGAGAGAGAGAGAGAGAGAGAGAGAGAGAGAGAGAGAGAGAGAGAGAGAGGGAGGGAGGAAGGGAGGGAGAGAGAGAGAGAGAGAGAGAGAGAGGGAGGGAGGGAGGGAGGGAGAGAGAGAGAGAGAGAGAGAGAGAGAGAGAGAGAGAGAGAGAGAGAGAGAGAGGGAGGGAGAGGGAGGGAGAGAGAGAGAGAGAGAGAGAGAGAGAGAGAGAGAGAGAGAGAGAGAGAGAGAGAGAGAGAGAGAGATAGAGAGAGAGAGAGAGAGAGAGAGAGAGAGAGAGAGAGAGAGAGAGAGAGAGAGAGAGAGAGAGAGAGAGAGAGAGAGAGAGAGAGAGAGAGAGAGAGAGAGAGAGAGAGAGAGAGAGAGAGAGAGAGAGAGAGAGAGAGAGAGAGAGAGAGAGAGAGAGAGAGAGAGAGAGAGAGAGAGAGAGAGAGAGAGAGAGAGAGAGAGAGAGAGAGAGAGAGAGAGAGAGAGAGAGAGAACATCCCGGCGATGCTGCACGCGGCCCTTTGTTTATGTGCCCACACTGTCCTGTCAATCACCAGACTGGTGCTGTAATCTGTCACCCGAGCACCCCGCGTGCGGAATGACTCAGTCTCATCAGCTGGGAATGCCGTATATGTGGGGTCTGGTGACCGTACAGCTGGCCGTATCTGGGTCTGGTGACCGTATAGCTGGCCGTATCTGGGTCTGGTGACCGTACAGCTGGCCGTATCTGGGGTCTGGTGACCGTATAGCTGGCCGTATCTGGGGTCTGGTGACCGTACAGCTGGCCGTATCTGGGGTCTGGTGACCGTATAGCTGCGCTTATGCTCCATACCTGTAGATCTGGCAAAAGACACATTGGACGCTTGTCGGTCATTGCAGTCGGTCTCTGACTCTACATACCTATACCTGAAGATCCCATAGATGCACCATGAGACGAAGCTTGGCATCATGATTGAGTGATTGATGGTGCGGGGGTGAGGGTAGTTCTTCACTGAAATATCCAGCTTTGGCGATTCCAGCATTTGGGCTGAGGCCGAAGCACTTGTAGCCAGAGTATATAGACTTGTAGCACCCATGGCCGAGAGCGTTGGTTTCCCACCCGATTTCTCCCCGGTTGGGCGCGGCGGTCCGGCGGGCGGTGGGTACTGGGTATGTGCTGTTTATCGGTTTGCTGAGCGCTCCTCCGGCTCACGCCCGGTCATAACTCGGGTGAGCCTGCCGGCGCGAGGGCGCCGACAAACCGGTTCACTAACATCGGCTCTGCACAGTCTGCAGACGGCGATTAAAGCGTGGTATGTAAATATCCCCCGCCGCCGGCTTTGTTTGGCCCGCCATGCTGGTGAGCTATCCATGAGCGATGTTTTCCTTCTCGGAAAGCTGGTTTATCGCATTCATCGTGTGATTTGGTGTTCTCACTGACTGACCAGCACTTTTGACGCGTTGTTTTGCAGGGCACCCAGTCACTCCATCTTTTAGCTTTTCCTTGAATATGCATTCCGATCTTGTTAGGGTCTGTGTTCAGCCGACTCTCTCAAAGTGAAGCTTTCTTTCCGTCTAGTGATGAGATCGTTGAACTGTTTCCTCATGCATCTTATCCCACCGTACCATACCCGTTTATTGCCGGCGAAATCTGCCGGTTCTTTCGCTGGTTCCCTTCTGACGCCCCCCCCCCCCCCCTCCTACTGAGTCCCGTTTGTGACCTCCCTCCCCTGGCTCCTCTCTGGCTTCCCGTCTGACGCCCCTCTGCTCTCTCGCGGCAGGTGCCGGCGCCATGTCGGAGTCGGCCCAGTACGAGCTGGTGGAGGGCGCCGTGTTCCAGATGTCCGACGGCACCTCTGTCACGGTGCGGGACGGCCAGCTCGAGCTGTCGGACGGCAGTCGGCTGCCCACACCCGCTGCCGGAGAGGCCATCACCGTGGAGCGCACCGTCACACGTCCCGACGGCGGCACCACGCGCATCAAGCACACCATCCGACTGAGCGAGCCGGAGCCACCCATCGCCGAGACGCCGGCCAGACCCTTCGCCGGCGCCGGGCCCGGGCCCGACGAGCAGGACACGCCGAACGGCCAGCCGGAGGGCGAGACGGTGCCGGCGCCGGAGACGGCGGCGGTGGCCGAGACGGCGCCAGTCGCTCAGTCCAAGACCTCTGAGACGGACAGCGCCCCCGCCGCCCCGCAGCAGACGGAGGCGGCGAGCGCAGAGCCGACACCGGCTCAGGAGGCGGAGAAGGCGCCCGTGCCCGTGACGCCCGTAGAGAACACGCTGATGGGGGTGAACTGCGGCCGGCGCAGCCTGCGCGAGATGCTCTGGGGCTCGATCCCGGAGAGCGGCTTCGGGGAGGACGAGGATGAGCCCAAGGCGCCGCCCAAGGGGCTGCTGAACAAGTCGTACTCGATCAAAGAAGAGGACGAGTCGGAACACGAGGATGACGAGGTTGCCCACGAGGAGCCGCTGGAGTCGAGCGAAAACGCAGACGCAAGCTTCGAGTTTGTGGAAGATAAGACGAAGGACAGCGAGGCAGAGAAGCAACCAGAATCTTCCAAAGAGTCGCCTAAAGATGATGGCACAGCTGATGAGAAGCCAAAGAATGAGAATGCTTCGGAGAAAGATGAGGATAAGAAAGAGCCAGAGACCTCGCAGGATTCTACTGCTGGTGACACTCCGGAGAAAATCCAGAGTGACCAAGTCCAGGAGTCTGCAGCCGGGAAATCGGACGAGCCCAGCTCTGCAGACGTCTCTGAGGCCAAGGAGCCGGAGTCTGAATCCGATCCGCCGACCGCGGAGAAGCTGGCCGAGCAGGCAGCCGCCCTCATGGCCACCACGGTCTCGCTGGACGAGGCGCCGGCGCCGGCCGAGCCGCACCACGAGAAACGCCACCTGACCCGCCAGCACGAGCTGCCCTCCTCGGGAAACCCGGCCACTGAGGATGGTGACGAAGTGGTGGTCCGTGTTGGTGTGCCTGTCGTGGACGCGGCGCCGGCCGGAGACTGCACCGGGAAGAGCAACTCACCGGCCGGAGACGCCGGTGAGAAGAGCGCCGCGCCCGCTGGGGACTCCAGTGAGAAGAGCGCCACGCCGGCCGCCGCGACGCGCCCTGACGAGGTCACCAGCGACCTGCATCTCAAGCTCACACCGATCCTGCGCAGCCTCGAGACGGACGAGCCCAAGGGTGCTGGGCCGGACGGAGACGGCGAGCGGCCCGCCAAGCCGGCGCCCGGCGAGGACCGCAAGGGCACCGTGCCACCCAACACGCCGGCGGTCGCAGAGGAGCGCGAGGGCCTTCCCGGCGCCGACGAGGCCGAGATCGGCCAGGAGCCCGTGTCCGTGCCCAAGGTGGTCAGCTACTACGAGAGCATCAGTCCTCGGGCATCGCCGGCGCCGACGCGACCGCGCGACGCGGCCACCTCGACCGTGCCCAAGGTGATAAAGTTCGCCGAGCCGAGCGAGCCTGAGAAGGTGTACCTGGACGGTCAGGAACCGGAGGACGCTGAGGACTCAGCCACCCCACACTCCGGGAACACAGAAGAGACGATCAGCCCGCGCTCCGAGAACACAGAGGAGACGGTCAGCCCGCGCTCTGAGAACACAGAGGAGACGGTCAGTCCTCGCTCCGAGGCTAGAGAGGAGACAGCGACCCCGCGCCCCGCCGAGGAGCCGTCAGCGCGCGTGGAGCTGGCGCCGGAGCCGGCGGCGCAGCAGCCGCCGCAGGTCCTGGTCGCGGTGCGCGGCACACCGGACGACCTGGACCCGCTGTCCGCGCTGGCCGCCGAGCGGTCCGTCCCGCCCGAGGAGCCGGCCACGCCCAGCACCACGCCGGAGAAGGAGACCGAGCCGGAGCCGGCGCCGGAGGGCGGGCAGACCGGCGGCGAGCAGCCCAAACCGGACCCGCCCGTCTACCGGCCCGAACTGTTCGAGCCGGAGCCCAAGCGGCCGCTGATCATCACCTCGGAGCGCGTGGACGAGGACGCGCCGCCCTACGAGCCGGGCGTGCACGACGCGCGCACGCTGCCGCTCGGCCGGAAGACGGCCGTGGTGACGGAGCAGCCGCCGCCGTTCGGAGAGGACGACCGGTCCGACCCGCGCGACCCGTTCCTGCCCGATCAGCCGCGGCCCGGCGCCACCATCAAGGATGACGGCTGGCTCAGCACGTGCTTCGACCTGTGCTGCTGCTGCTGGGCACCCTGAGCGCCGCGCCGGCGGCGGGCAGCCCGGTGATGTGTAGATGTGAGCTCGGTGGGCGCACCGAGATTAGGACGGCGCGTGACGCCGCGCCCGGACCGGCGCCGGGGCTCGATCGCTGCCTCCCGGTGTTCAGTGCTCGAGTCTCTGGCTGGGGGCGGTCGGGGACCGCGGACTGTCGCCGATAGTTGACGTGCTCTACAGCGGCTGTGGCAAAAACACCGCTTTGGTGGCTTTGAACTCTGATTGGAGGTAGCGCGACAACATACGGCGGAAACAGCATGTGATACGGACTGGACGAGCGACGTGGGTGTGAACTGTGAAATTTAGCTACGCCGCGGCGTTCAGGAACCCGAGCTTCCAGGCGTGACGCCGCTGCGCCGCGCAGCGTAACCGTCGAGCGACCGCGCCGCGCCCGCTGGTTGGGGGACCACTCATCAAATGTTTTACAATATTCACAGATGCCATGACTTATTTTCGTAATACCGACCGCTTTTGACAGCTATATTCAGTAAAATATACACAAAAACAACATCGGCGGCATGTATTTCGAAGACGCGACGGCGCGGCACACGGACACTTGTATAAAAACAACAGCTCGGCGGCACCCGAGGGGAGTCACCGCCCAGCGACTCTGAACCTCTCACGTCCCGGGGCCCTCCTCTGACTCACTACTCGAGTCACTGGACGAGCCCGGGTCGTCGCGGTCGATATCCTCAGGTAGTTCCGCGCCCGGGGGCGGGGGCGGAGTGCCGGGAGGGGTGCCTCCCGCCTCCTCCCCGGCGGGTGAGCTCCCTCCCGTCCCCTCCCCGGCGGGTGAGCTCCCTCCGGCCTCCTCCCCGGGACCGCCAGTCTCTGTCTCTGCCTGTGCCTCCCCGGCCCCCGTCTCCGTCCCCGGCGCGTCGCTATCCTCCTGCTGTTTGCGCCACAGTTTGGCCATCTGCAGGAGTTTGAGGTTGGGCCGCGCCGCCTCGTCTTCCGGGAAGATGTAGTCGAAATACTCCTCCCAGCCCGTCTCCTCCTGGCGAATGGGGATGGGTTGGTCACTGGTCAGTAATAGTTAGGGTATTTAGGGTGGCAAAATGAAACTGACAGGGACAAAGGTAGCTAAAGCTTTTTCCACTCAAGCTCCTGTTGACAACTACACATCGGTAAGTCGTGAGGTTTTCAAGGTTTGATACTGACTATTCGATTAACACAGGATTCGTCATAGTACCTATCAGCCTATGCCTAGGGCTCGCCGCATATTGTCGAGATTGTGTTTCTGAGTTACACAGCATTCCTCCCTTGTAGGGACAGACACAGGTCAACACGAATTCGAGGAACCTGGCCGGAGCAATATACAATTTCGCCCGAAAATGTTCACGATGAGGCGTAACTGGCCTGGGCGAAACTCATGTCCGAAAACCTTGCGGGGCGGAGAATCACACAGGAATTACAAGAACGTGATTAGAGAACAGTCTGTCCCAAAGGCTTCACCGATGTGATCGCGTTATTTGCCGTGTTGAGCATTTCCTTGGAATAACTCCCACAAACATTCTCTTTAACTGGCACCAGTGGGTAAGTCTAAAGCCAATCTAAAGCCAGTGGTGGGGACAGGTTGCACCACTGCTCTATCCCCCGCATCACAGTAGTCGGAGCACCACGGACCCCTTCCCCTCCCCGACAGGGGCACGCCAGCCGTGTGGAAAGGACGGCTCTGCATTCGGGAGCTCAGAGCCCACAATGGATGGCGTCACCGGCACAAAGGCAAACCGGTGAGTGTCGTCAGACACACACCCTTGTTCACTCCACGGAAAACTGGTCATGACTCGGCACTGCCCCTCCCCTCGGGCAGGGTAGTTAACAGTCTGCACCCACTACTTTCCTCAGCGACGCACCCTGGTTATCAAAACTACAGTGAGGAAGCCAGGGGGCACTTCGGGAGTGTCCTACAGCGTAAACACACTGTAACTCTGCACTATAACTATATGGCTGGTGATGGCCGGCCGTTACACCGTTCCGTGCTTCTATCCTCAGGATACAGAAATCCTTCTCCTCCACGCCGCAACCCCCTCCGGGCTGGACAGGCAACTTTATCTCATGCGGGCTGCTCCCTTGGAGCGGCACCGCTGCTCCCGAGGGAGCGCACCCCGTAGCCGGGTGCAGTGAGTGCCTTGGGGCTGGGTGGCCTGTCCTCTGGACGGGCTCAGCCCCGGCGACTCACTAGGGTGCCTGCCCAGACCAATGTCTCCCCCTTTATCCTATCATCCTCCCGGCTCTGAAATGGTCTTGCCAGGGCCTAACCCAAAAATTTCATTTCATGGCCGTTCAAATCAGCCGACCGGCGCGCGTATGTATGAATCGTACAGAGACACTGTAAATTATGTCTTATGATTGATGATCCGCCACATGGCGCCGGGTGAATTATTTCGGCTCGACATGGATACAATATGACACAGATGATATCACGGTGCGTGTTACATGTGACGAGCGGCGCCCTTTTAAAGTCGAGCTACCGCTCCTTTTCCGTCACGAACAGCCCACTGTTTATTATAATAGGCGTCGACACACACAAAACAGAATACACAATTGGACAAAAAAGGATACATGATCCAATAGAATACACGTATGTGCCAACGGATACCCATTACACAACCAAGCAGAATACACATTTGGACAAAAAGGACGGCCCAGAAAACATGGCCGGTAACATAAGCTCTGGCTCGCCCGGTGTAAACGCCCTCCCCAAGGTCTGTCCGAACTTACCCCGTCATCTGTGACGATCTTCCTCCTGCGCTTGACTCTCTTCGGCATCATCTTCTGCACCTGAAGCAGCGTCTCTTCGGAGCCGTGCTCCTCCTCAAAGTTCTTCCAGGCCTGCACGAGCGGGGGCACGTGTCACGCGCCACGAGCAGTGGAAAAACGTTACAGCTGCACACTGAAGAACTGGGACGTGGTATAAACAAAACCGAGAGCTGTCCGTGCGTGCAAAAGGGTGAAAGGCAGCAGAGCACACAAAGAGGCCGTTGAACCATTGGATTGGGTGCAATTTCCCTGGAGGCATTATCAGTCTAGTGTGCCAGAACAGAGAAAGAAATGATTGAAAAATGCTCAGAGTGGAATGGAGAAAGGCCAGGTGGAGTGGAGAAAGTGGAGAAAGCCAACTGTTTTGGGGACAGGCGAACAAGTTTCAGAACCACGCCGCGGCATTCAGTATTGTATCATGTTTAGCCACATTATGCATAAATGCATACCAAGCGGGTAGGCTCAGGATTATGAGCACTGTGCTGCAGTGTGCTTATACGTCACCTCGTGAGTGCTAAAACGTCGCCGCACTTGAATATGAATCCTTCGCCATTGCACAACTGGGGAGCCATTTGGTGTAAAACACGTAACTTTCTCTACACATGTTTTCACAAAGTCTACATCTGCGGACGATACCATTGGGGGTTTCCACGAGCACACCCAGAGTGTGTGGCCTACCTCTAGCAGCATGAGTCTCTCCTCCTTCTCCTCGGACTGACGGAGCGCGCCGCTGGCCCGCTGGTACACGGCCCGGGCCTGAGCGGCGCCGCCGTCCGCCGCCAGGCGCAGCTCGAACTGCGCGAACGACATCCAAACCTGTTGGCGAGTGGCGTCAGAGGTCAGATACGGTACACATAGCGGACCTCGCGGTCAGATACAGTACACAGCGGCAACCGCGGTCAGATAAGACACACAGTGGCACTCAGACGCAGCTCGAACTGCGCAAACGACATCCATACCTGTGGGTGGCGCAGAGGTCAGATATAGGGATACAGCGGCGCCCGCGTTCAGATATGGGGGGATATTACAGCGGCGTCAGCGGTCAGATACGAAAAGATACGAGAAACTATAGTAATCAGATAGAAAGATAAAAGAAACTCGTACATCGGCACCCGTGGTCAGATATGGGGGGATACAGCGGCGCCCGCGGTCAGGTCACTGACGTTCCACGCAAGTACTGTTCACCCTAGCCGCTTCCCGGGTGGCCAGCCGATCTCAATTTATTCCCCCTCCCCTGGCTCCCGTCGCTAAGGAGCCGTCCTTCCCGTCGACCGGGTCAGACTCGCTCAGTGCACAGGGGACCCGTCGGGCGGGTCGGACCCGGGACACACCTCCGATGGACCGATAGCCCTGCCGCCGGCCGACCGACCCGCGCCGCGCAAGGTCGAAGAGCAGTGTCGTGAAGAGTTGTTGCTCGAATGTCCTATGCGTAAAATCACATTAACTTGCATTACATTCAATGCACCAGGGTACTGGTGGTATAAATTTGAATACCGTTCTCAGTGACCTTCACAGTGCCCGCAGTCGGCGAAATATCAGTGAAGCGTCGGTCGCATTAATGATCAGTGAGCGGACGACGTGTCACAGCGATAGGTTCGCCCACCGGCCGGTGATGGTCACAAGTGGAGGGATATGACCCGGGTGACAGGTGGACGTGGAGGGTATACACTCACAGTCTGGCGCTGGCCCGGCGGCCATCGGCCGGGGATGGTCAAAGGTGCAGGGTACATTCCGGGGTGGGTGACGGTCAAAGGTGCAGGGTAAAGCCCGGGATGACGGTCGAAGAAGGTCCAAGTAGCGGGTGTTTCGAGTCACCTCAGTTATACGACCGCGCGATCCCGGGGAGGGTGAAACAGTGCACTCGCACAATAACACAAACATACAGAGTGAACATCGAAATGATCGAACAGAGGCCTCTTGCACCAAAATTCTCTTGCACCAATGCTTGGATTATTTTGCATCGTATAACCAGTCCAAGTCTCAAATGTAACAATTTGCGTGCAAAATTTTGCAAGCACATGTAGGATTATGTATTGGGCTATTGCAAACAAATTTACCACCGTTAGATTAGCTTATTCTGAAACCGGTTGTTCGATTTTACCTAGCTAGGTAGTTTGGTGCAAGAGGCCTCAGAGGGCCTGAAAATATTCAGACCACCCTTAAAAGGACAGACGGGAGATGGAGTGGGAGAAATGCAACCCGCAGATAGTGCAGCCTGTCAAACGATGGTCCATGTCAGACTAGAAGTTGGCAGTTGCAGCCAGTTGTGAGTGACGCTGACTGACCTGCCGCTGATCTATAATTTCGTCCCCCGCCCGGCACCCACCTTGACGTGCTGCGTGCGCTGCAGCAGCCGCTCGTACAGCTGCCGGGTGCGGTCAAACTCCTCCTGCTCCGTCTCGAAGTCGATGTAGCTCTTCCACAGGATCTCCGGCATGTCCAGTCGCGGCTGGTTGATGGCCAGCTCGTAGATGGCGCGCGCCCGCTCCGCGTCTCCCAGCAGTGTCTCCAGCTCCGCGAACTGACGGTGCATAGCATGACGGGTCAATCACTGCGACAATTTGAGAGAATAGATAATTACCTGTGCAAAGGCACACAGAGCAGACTGTACCAGGGTTAATCAATGCACTAGCACTACTCAGGGAAAGGACAGAGGCTGGGCACACGGCACACGAGATTAACCACTGCGCTCGTAGGGGAGAGGGGCAGATACAGGGGCAGATGGCAACCTGGGTCTAACAAGAATCCGCCGCTCTGCGAAAGGGATAGATATGCGGGCAGAAACCGAGAAAAGGGGAGGAATGGACGGACACGGGCAGTTGGCTGCGGTGTAAACTCTACACATGACAGCACCTTGCAGTATTTCAAGAAAATCGAGCACGAGTTATATGGTTTAGAAGGCAAGGAACGAAAGACATAATCTGGTCGGATAAGGCAAGCCTTATCCGACCAGAACGGAACGAAAGACAGACATTTAGCAGAGCGGTCATACCGACCGGGCAGAGACAGTTCGAGACAGAAACACAAACGCAAATAAAACCAGCTCCCTGCAAATGCAGACAGTCCATCCTGAGCCAGCCACGCGGTCCTTCCGTTTGTCAGTCACCACACGACGCACGCCGTACCCAGTACGGACTGCCACAAAAACTGTCCTCCGCGACGGGGTGATAAATGGGCGCAACGCGCGCCGGGGCAGAAAAACGGCGACACAGATCTGCCCGCGGTCGAGGCTGCGGCGGGCGGCGCCGGCTCCCTCCCCGCTACTCCCCTTCCCAGCTCTCCCGCTCTCCACAGCGGCCATACCTTGATCCAGGTGGTGCAGTTCTGGGGGCCAAACTCGAGGAACTTTTCGTAGAGCAGCCGGCAGCGGTCGAACTCTCGCAGCTGAATCTCCAGCTCGATGTAGCCGCGGAACAGCTTGTCCTTGGCGCAGCGGCCGATGGCGGCGCCCTGCGGCGGACAGTGGAGAAGGGTGGCAGGGGTGTTACTGCTGTGCATGGATGGATACAGCAGGTACTGAAACTGGCGTGAGGAGAGGGGAAAAGGGCAGGTCACTGAAGAGTTCCCGGCTATTCGACAAGTCATCAGGAGTCAGTCGCTGCCCTTGGAATGTCCAGTCCAATGAAATTTAAACGAGAGACGGAGAGACGTTGGATGAATATCAGATGGTGACAGTTCAATTATAGTCGACGTATTTAGGCTGTCAAATATGTTATGCTCCGTACTTGACTTACGCTTATCTTACGATATCTCCGCACGTAGTGACATGGTAGGCTAGAAACTGGCGATACCGTGAACCCTCACATTCCAATATTAGTCTCAACATCAACGATACACATTGAATGTAGCTCCCTTCTGATGACGGCGCACACAAAACGTTCACTCATCACACAGAGTCTCGAGTCTCAGCCTTCTTCAGCTCCCCTCCTACCATCCACCCCACCCCACTCCTCACCATGGCTCGTCGTGCTGCCGTCAGGTCCTTCTGGCGGATCTCGAAGTGGGCATACATCAGCCACAGTTTGGCGAACGTGAGGTGTTTGTGCGGCGTCAGCTCGAGCGCGGCGCGGTACACCTGGCGGGCGCGCTCCATATCGCGTGCCTCAAGCTCCTCGTAAACGGCGTAGTTGATCCACAGGTAGATGTAGCGCCGCCAGAAACGCTTCTCCTGCCGGCCGGGGGAGAAGAGAGCGTTAGCTGTCGTGGGAGGTGCAGGTACGGCAGATGGAGAGGGAAACTGAAGAAGGTATTAAATAGGGTAATGGGATAATGAGGAGAGGGCATGGCCACGGCAAGGCATCATAAGGGTGGAAAATCACGTCTAAAAAATACGCATCCAAATGACGGCAATGGGTGGGAAAATGTCATCAGGACATATCATAGTCACACGACTTCATTCTCGCGCTAGACTGTCAGTGTGACACCCGCGTAAGCGGAACGCGGACTGTCAGTCTCCCTTACCCGTCTAGGCAGCACCTTGGACTGTTTGTATCACCCGTGTAGCGGCACGTTCGATTGTGTCACCCGCGTTGGAGACACGTTGCGTAAGTAGTAATCGACACGCACTTTGTATCATGTGGATCGCTCTTAAATGTAAATACAATACGTTGGACCGTTTCACGTACCCGGGTTGGCGGCACGTTGGGCCGTCTATTTCACGTACCCGGGTTGGCGGTACGTTGGCGATGGCCCGCTCGTACGTCTCGCGGATGGTTTCCACGTCTCCCTCGGACTCGACCAGCCGCAGCAGGTCGAACCAGGCGTCGTAGTTGCTCGGGTTCGCCTCCAGCTCCTGAACAGACAGGGTTTTACAGGGCGAGGAGTCAGTGTAGAGTCGCGAGGTGATCAGCAACGGGAAACGATACATGAAACGGAGCGCTGTAAATCGCAGCTGGCTAATTCCTTTCCAAACGTCAGCCATCTTCGCGATTTTAAACTTATGTAGTTCAGTCATTATTTCTGATCCCTGGGTTATAAGTCATTAGGCGACAGCAGAAAACAATATTGTTTACAGTGATCGGAATCCGTGATTACATAGAGATCCGTGATTGCGTAACCTATGCATACCAATTACCAAGAAGCATTGACATTTTTAATGCACATCATTACATCAGTACACCAACTAAACCATCAGCAGCCGCGCTCGACTCACCGTTTCGTACTGGTGTTTGCGCTTGCTGACGATGACGTCTTCGATGCCCTTGCGGTCGCCGTACTTTTTCTCGTGAATGGTGTACTGCTTGTACAGCTCCTGACACTGCTCCTTGGGAATGTGGTCCAGTGCGTACTTGTAGATGACGCGAACACGATCATGCTGAAAACGCACAACGGAGCATTACAGCAATTCGTCAGCTACGCCTCAAATCAAGAAATGAATTTCACGCTTTAAATAAACAATGATAAACAATCGCTTCAAAACATCACGAAGATTTTGCAAATCAATGATTTACGCACCTCTTTCTGGTTTTCCTCGAACCTGGCGAAGGCGATGAAGAGCTCCTCGAACATGTTTTCCTCGCCGAAGAACTCGATGGATCGCTCGTAGATGCGCCGCGCGCTGGCGATATAGTTGTAACGCTCCTCGAACCTGAGAACAGAGCGGGTGGGAGTGAGGAATGGAGAAACAGGGCTTAGACGTCAACTGAAGTGCAGCCACCTTATCCAACTGAGTGATATTCAGCAATTCTGTAGAAAGCATGACAACGCTCCGCAGGCTCACGTGATCATAATGTCTCGTAGATATTACGATGGACAGGAAATGAATACCTATTCGCATGTGAACACAATACAGGGTGTCCCAAAAGTTTTGCAACATCGCTGTCGTCTGGTTTGAGACACGTTCTTTTGTATGTACTTTTGTATTCAGCAGCCGACATAATCACCGCGTCGTCGGACACACTTCTGGATGCGTGACGGCATGCTGGCGACCAAGCTACGCAGCGTGTCCGTCGAGATTTCTCTCCAGGCCTTCTTCAGGCGTCGCTCGAGCTGGCTGAGGCTTGTGGAGGGCTCCTGCTGGTTGAGGCTCTCCTTCAAAATCGCCCACAGATTTTCGATTGGGTTTAAGTCTGGCGAGTTTCCAGGCCATTCACCTTTGGCCCAAAACCCCGGTAGATGCTCGTCGCACCATTCCTGGCTTCGTTTGGCATTGTGCGCTGGCGCACCATCTTGCATAAAAATTGCCCGCGACATTGGGTCGATGAGTTTCCTCTCTGTAATGCCGCCAGTTTTGCTTGTACGCTCGACCGCTGGCAAAAGTGAGCCCTCCAGGATTTCTGTCACGTAGTACGCGGTGTTTACCGTCTGCTTTGGGGGCACCACGTGGAGCTCAGTAAGACCCTGCGCGGTCATTCCACCCCATACCATAAGCTTGGCGGGCTGTTTGACGGTTTCCACGCGTGGCACCTGATCGCCAGACCTCGCCCAGACTCGATCATTTTGCCGGTTTGGCTTCTGCTGGAGTTCGAATACAGACTCATCGGACCAGATGACATGCTTAAATTCTTCAAAACTCCATTTTTCTACTCTCTTACAAAACGCTAATCTTGCAAGTTTCTGTTTTTCGCTCAATTTTGGCTGTTTTTGCCTCTTGTATGGCCTAAATTGCTTTGTTTGCGTCATGAACCGGTGTACACTTGACTTGGACATCGGATAACCTTTTCTTATTACCCTTATCGCCAATTTCCTCACGCTCTGTCCTCTTTTCCCTGCAGCTTTGGAGCAAACGATCTTGGCGACTTTGGACATGGTACTTGGTCGGCCGGAGCGCTCCATGTCGGCCAGGGATTTACCCTCGCAATGGCGTCGCCACCATCGAAAGAGAGTAGTCCGGTTGACTCCGAACCGTTCTGCGACATCCCGCTGAGCCACGCCTGCCTCCAGTAATCCAATGGCGCGCGAGCGCACAGCTTCTCGCCGCGAGACCCGCCCGGCGACCTTCATGTCTGCGACTGACCCAGGGTCGGCCAGCGGTCGCCGCAGTCAAGGTCAGCCACGCCCCGAGGCGGCATCCGCCAATGGTCGGGGTGTGTAACAGTGCCTTCTACCCATGGCAACAGAAAGACCACCGTTATGGCATTTATATCAGCGGTAAATACGTAAACAATCCAGAAAACGGATGTTGCAAGACTTTTGGGACACCCTGTATATGTATCTAGTTACCACGACAGACAGTAGTAGATATATCTCGAGGCGATTCATGAGCCGCCGCTGTTTCCGCTTACTTAGCGAATTTGATCCAGTTTTTGACGTCCGGGTGCACCATGACGAAGCGCTCGTAGATGTGTCGCGCCCTGTCGAGCTCCTTGTAGCGCAGCTCGAACTTGACGTACGTCTGCCAGGCCTGCTCCTCGGGTTCCCACTCCATCCACCGCTCAAACACCGCCCGGCAGCCTGCAAACGGGCGTGCAGGATCACAGCAGCTTGGATTTCAAACAACTCATCCGAAGTAGTTGAAGTCTCCAGAACATATGCCAATGACAATTACACCATCAGCTTGACCACACAGCTCAGACTATTTTCACCTACAAACAGACCAGTCTCTCCGGCCTCACACCACTATATAAATTATCTCCACTCTACACAAACCACAGCCACATCCTTTCCAGCTCTCTCGTTCCGGCCGACCCCCTCGAACTCCGCTGACCTCCCTCCACCCCATACCTCTACCCCGCCCCTTGCCGCGCCGCGACACCACTGACCTGCCACGTTGCCCAGCATCTCCTCCATGTAGGTGTACTTGTACCAGAACTGGTTGGCGCGCGGCAGCACCGTCACAGCCCGGTCCCACAGGTTGCGCGCGTGGTTGATCTGCTTGTTGCGCATCTCGGTCTCGGCGTAGCGCAGCCATAGCGTGATGTTGCGGTGGTCGACATCCAGCGCTCGCTCGAACACAGAGCGCGCCCTGGTGGCACAGGGACGGGTAGGGGAGGTCAGGTCAGCGGTGGACTCCGGACAGTGGCCGACAGGCCAGGAGGCTGTCAGGGCAGAGGAGAGTCGGTCAATGTCAGAAGGGTCAGGTCAGCAGCGGCAAACAGGCTATAAAAAATTGTCGGGTAGGCAACCGTTACACGAGCCTGCAAGTTGAGGAATAATAATAAAAGGGCAAAAAGCCCGAGACCGTAAAACGGTAAGACTTTTCCCGTGTTTCGTTGCGCTCTCCCGCCGAGCCTGGGTACGTCGTGCGTGTGACCCACCTCTGAATCTCCTTCTGGCTCTCCTCCCACTGGGCGTATTTGAGCCAGTTGGCGATCAGGCCGCGGTTCTTGCGGATGTTGTCCTCGAACTGTTTCCGCTTCTTCATGCGGTACTCGGCCAGTTCCTCGGGGTCATTGATCTTCTGTTTGGGTGGCTGTCGGCGGGACACAGATCGGTCAGTCGGGCGCCACTCGGCTCCAGTACTGACCGTGCCGAGCGATATATAACCGGCCAGTTCCAGGCAGCTAGGCTTAAATGCTATCTAGACACATAGCAGCTGCAATGTCAATGAAGAAACATGTCCCTGATTCGAACTTAAAGATACTGAATGCCAACATCCTAAAAGCAATCTGGATAATAGCTTTCCTTAATCTCTCATCTTTGATGCAATATTATCGCTCATTGGCCCTGGACATCCCCTCATCTTAGATAAATCTCCGCCTCAGATCCCGTTACCACTCACCCTGGCGACGATTTCGAGCTCTCGCTCCTTAGCCTCTCTGAGCAGCTGTTCGGCGGTGATCTGAACCTCGGCCGGCGCCTTGTTCTTCACCTGTGGACGGGCGGGAGGGCACAGGTCAGACGAGAGAGAATCGACCATCGGGCACATACACGGAGCCGTGCCGTCAATAATCCAGTACAGCCCCTGATAGCAGCATTCAGCAAACATGTATACATTCGAAATAGACTGACAGAGCTGATAGCATTAACAATTAATACAATAAATCAATTATTACCCACAGTGAATAGTATCATAGAGTGCTAAAAAGTATTTAAAAACACACAGACATAACACATGAACTGTTACAATCCACACTCAGAGGAAATAAAAGCGACAATAAAATCACAACCTTTGGCATGCAGAATGATGAACCTTTCACAGGGTACAAAGATATGTATAATAGTGAAATTGAGTAAGCAGTAGCTTAACTGCCTGATTACCTTGGCCACCTTGGGCGGCTTTTGTGGTTTTCCTGGTGCTGGGCTTTCCATGGTTCTTCTGACAGAGATTCAGCTACAGATCCTGCAGAGAAAGAACAATGCCAGGTAAGCTGTCACACTCTTTTAAAATCACACTATTTAAGATTAGGTGCAGCCACACCCGGAATAAAGTGGAGCAGCATGTACAGAGTTGTAGAGAGTTATGTAGAGAGTAAATGGCGTGCAGGGTGCTGTCCATAATTTATGGCACCACATAACATCTTGCTTCATTTCATATCTCTTCATGAGCAAATATCTTCGTTCGCAATTCTTGGCTACCGCAGATCTTCGTCTACGCGAAAATAGTCGCATATCTTCCACCGTGAATCTGAGTACGCATATATTTGCTTATCTGAATCTTTGGACACATAAATCATTATCCACAGCCTTCTAATGGCTTTCTAATGGCGCTGAAAGGCCCCAGAGATCAGCTGTCATAGATCGGTCCCCACTCCCCACTAGAGGACCGCACCTTGTGGAGCTGGGTGCATTGATAAAAAATGATTTATGTGCCTATACATATAATTATTTATAATTTAGTCCGAACCTATTGATTGGAAAGATTCACAAGGACAGAGCTCCGCTAAGCGAACCTTGTTGCGTTGACCCTGCCCTCTACCCTCCGATCGCGCAATTCCGGCTCTATGGCAGAATTTGGAGCCAAACTTGCGCACATAGCTGCGCACGGCCGGTCCCCTCACTGACTTCGCCTGGCTTCGGCCTGCCACCAACCACAACCATACCTGTCAGGAGGCCCACAAACGTCAAGCGCCCGTCGCGCTTCAAACCCGGACTGTTATAACCGGGAACGCGTGCTCTCACCACGCCGGTGTCCAACGCTCTACCGACTGAGCGGTACGGGACCAGCTAGCGTATATGTAAGCATAAATCAGTTCAAGTGACTGAAGAAATAGTAAATACAAAGCAGGCAAGACATTTCTTTTGTCACACAAGTGCTCGACCACATTTTTTATCCCTGCGGCCTGCTTGGTTCCAGGTGTTGATTTGATGCCTGCCTTCCATCTTTGTATGATGGAAGGGAAGGATGGAATTTGTATTTGGAAATGTATGCGGACATGCATATCTGCTCACGTTTCTGTAACCGTTCATGTAAACCCTTAGGGGTAAACATGATTAGGGACTGGAAAAGTGTAGTCACAGGTAGAGGACAAAGCTTTTGCTGGACCCTGTATTACAAAATAAATGTCATGAATAAAAAAGAAAAGGATCAGCAAAACTGTTTTCTCATTGGCATAGCCCTCGTTATTTGTCATGCTTGCATATGCATGATAGTTAACAGAAACTCTGGAAAAAGCAGAAATCAATACCTATCAAACCTACATGATGAAATGCAGAAATGTGACAAAAAATGGGATTGTGAAGAAATGCTACAGTTTACACATGATGCTTGGACAAAAAGTGAGCAATTGCAATTGAAATTTGTGCAATAGTGAAGTCAGAGACAATGGAATAAAATCATAATAAATATAATTGATAAGCATAGGTATTAATTAAGGTCATGACTCATGCTGCAGTCTACACTATGTGTGACCATCCAGGAAAATACGTGCACATTTTGCAGATCTGTGATTGTGGGACTTCCTTGACATCGGTTTCTGAATTTTTCCAGAACTTCCGTGAGGCATAAATTATCATATGCTGACATAGGCATAAAAATAATGAGTGCAATCACCTTAAACAATGAAGTTTGCCTTAAACTCGAACTAGATCTGTTTAATATCTAAAATATCCATTTAATAAAATGTCAATAAAACATGTAAAATTCCTTATTAGTATATATTAGGTCCGAGTGGTACCATATTTCCTATCAACTGAACTTGACCTGCGCACCAATTTCCCAAAAACCCGAAAAATGCAGTTTACACTTTACAGACGTAGGATCTAGAACTAAAATCCGAGTCAAAGCCTTTTGTTGTTGTTCTGGGCTAGGGTGCGTAGCAGTAATGTAGCAATAATGTGCGTAATGTAGCAGCTTGGCTCTTGCGTCCAACTCAAAGCCTTTTCTAACTTTAACTTTTGCTTTCCAGAGAAGTACTCACTAGTCACTTATAAATCTTTACAGTTTACACTAAAGCAAATAATTTCCTGCGAATCAGTCTCAAAGTTCCAGGCATCTATCTTGAATCAATAAGCAACATTAAAGATCACAGGAACATGAATAACCATAACATATTCGGACCGGCGTGAAAATAGCTTTTGAATAGCATACGCAATAGCATACGTATGGAACAAACGATTCTGTGAACTTGAACTTATTGTGTAGTGTTCATATTACACCAAAACAATAGCTCTCGGAAAGAAACTTGCAAAATATTTTCGTTCATTCGCTACAGACCGGAAACACTAGCCAGCAAAAACACTTACCAGCATGAGCAGCTTCACCGAACAAAAGAAGCCTGCGTAGGAAATGAACTTTTTGCGCAGTAGTTGCATCTCTTTGACGCGGGTTTTTATTGTGTCACAGTGGTACATTTCATCAATAATCTTTATTGATTGATAGCTCAAAATATAAAATGATTTGTTCTATTCAAGATTACTTTACTACTCGTTCTATTAGCCAAGGAAAAGTATCAAAGGGTTTATAAAAAGAAGTACTTGTTTTTACCCTCATAAAAATTTCTTGAAATATGGCAGCACAAATATGAGACGATCATGGCTCTGTTTACTCACCACTGAGAGTCGTTTCTTTTTTTGTTGGGAATTCTATTCTATAGCCTTGGGAGTGTCCGTAGTTGCGAGTTCTATTATCGCATTTCAATTTAGGTGGTAATTTGATTACCCTCAAATTTAAACTGATTTGAACGTCAGCTATGGAAGATCTTGAAATTCCAGCTATTTCGGAGCAGTGAGGTAAGCGTGAGATTTGCAAACATCCGTGTCGAAGTTTTGCTCTGTCAGTGCTTGTAGCGTAGGTCCCATGTTTCCAATATTATTTTTTGCTTATTTGGCTATTTTAAATATGGTGATGAAATTGACCAATAACATGGCAGTGAGATGTATGTTTATTTAACAAAATAAGGCCGAAAATATAGAACAAGCTTTTGCCTTGACAAGCCTTGGTTCTATATTTTTGGCCTTATTTGTTATATAAAAATACATCTCACTGCCATGTTATTGGTCAATTTCATCACCATATTTAATTATTTGATCATGGCAAAACCAACCATTCAATACATCAGGAGTTTGGCTATTTTTGTTGACTGAACAGGTACCTTGATAAGCACACACGAGTCACTGGTCACATCATGCACGCTCTGTATTGCTGGTTGTAAATGTTTCTCCTGGAATTGCATGATTTTCCCTGGATTTGGATCTTGATTTTTGCATGATTTCTCCTGGAAGTGCATATCAAGGTATTCTTACCAGGATCAAGGTATTCTTACCAAGGATACCTTGATAAGCACTCACAGTCACACTATGCATGCTCTGTATTGATGGTTGTAAATGTTTCTTCTGGTATTGCATGTTTTTTGGTGGAATCTGAAAATATAAGCACTCACAGTCACACTATGCATGCTCTGTATTGATGGTTGTAAATGTTTCTTCTGGTATTGCATGTTTTTTGGTGGAATCTGAAAACAGGGTGATGAAGGGCATTTTTAGTCATGTGATATTTAGGATATTCTCCCCCTCTTGGTGCCATGGCACCAATCAGCCTGTTAGTGCACTAACAGGCTGATTGTCATGTGATAAGGTCAAGAATATTTCAAGATGTTTGATCATATTGACCTTGGCACCCTATTTTCAGATTCAACCATTTTTCAGAAGCTTTCATTAGTCTTATTGTATGGTTTTCCCAGTTTTAGTAAAATTCTGCATTTCAGGTACCTATATTTTGGTGGAAACATCGAACTGGTGTGAGCTCATTAATGCTTTAGTGGATATTTACCATGCATGAATAACTGGAATAACTCAAATTTGTATTAGAATAAGTATTTATTACCAAGCTACGTTGAGCTTGTAAAACAATCATATGTTAGGTACATAACCCTTTGATTTTGATCAACATTAAGTTAAAAAACATGATCTTTAGATTGTATATTAAATCATAGAAAATTATTACTAATTTTCCATGAAGTGTTGTCACAGCACATTTCATGTTATCTATCACTGAGAAATAGATTTACCTAAACGATACCTACAAAACTTTTTATAGGTTCAAGTTACTTTTTACCTATTTTGTAGTTCAAATTACAGGGGAGGACAAATGGCTTGGTGGGGATTTAGGATGGGAGGAAGGGTACCTACTACCTTTATAGGGTAGGTACTGTAGGTACTTGTCAAACCACCTCAAGCTGGCTAAATTTAGGGTACCATGGGGTGTCACTGCATGGAAGCAGGCATACAGCCTGCCCTCAGCCTCCAATGCTTCCCCCCCCCCCATGGGATCTGTACTTACAGAATACATATCTAGTTAGGATTTGGGGCCTACAAAATGGGGTAAATTTTATCAGATGAGGTGTGGAATTGGATTTTCAAGCTTGCTTAAGTGTGGGTCAAAATTGAGACCAAAATACCAGTCTCTGGCTCCAAACTCTTGAGTTAATATTGTTTTAATTCAAGCCATGCTCTCTATTTGTGTTTGATTGTAACTTTTAATATAAATGTCTACCAGTTTTAATTCTTGATTTTTATTGTAGCTATACCATTGTTGTTTTGTACTTTGTGTGTTTGATCTAAGTAAACTTTGTACACTGACATTTAGGTATCCCAAAAAGCCAAGTTTTGTGGATGGTTTAAAGAGTAAATGATGATAATGAATAAATGAACATGGCCTCACATCACCTCAAGTGACTGGTGACTAGATTTGGTGACAAGTGACTGGATTTTCTAGAAAGCAGGAAGCCCCTAGAAAGCAGGAACCTTGGTCACAAACAGCTCTGAATTGGCTTGAATGTGACCTTACATACTACATCGTTTATTGGTGACCTGACCTGTTACAGAGCTAAAATTTTCTGAGAATGCTGCCAAAGTACCAATGTAAAGCTACCATTAAATGCCCTTGGTAGCTAAAGCTACCAAGGGCATTTAAAATGCAGGTCCACTTACATGCATGATGATCAGTACAGTGAACAATATATTAGTTTTGAGGCTAGATAAATGTGTCTGAGCTCATAGATATGAATGATTCCATAGCGAGTCATCGACACAATTGACGAGCCACCACTTATTACAGGATTGAGCCGAAATGGAGTGCCGCCTTACTGTGACTGTCCTGTTCTGTGTTGCAGGATCTTCTAAGGCCGGCGCGATGTCGCGCGCCATGATACCCAGCCAGCAGAAGGTGGCGGAGAAGCTGAGCATCCTCAACGACCGCGGCGTTGGGATGCTCACGCGAATCTACAACATCAAGAAGGCATGCAGCGACGCCAAGTCCAAGCCGTCATTCTTGTCAGAAAAGTCGCTCGAGTCGACGCTGAAACAGATCGTGCGAAAATTCCCAAATGTGGATGCCAAGAGTCTGCAGTCCATTTCGAGTATCCGCACTGACATCATCAAGTCGTTGTCACTTTACTACTTCACGTTCGTCGACCTGCTCGACTTCAAAGATCACGTCTGCGAGCTACTGACTACCATCGACGCACTGCAGATACAGTTGGACATCACACTCAACTTCGATCTCGCCAAGGGGTACCTAGACCTGGTCAGCACGTACGTTTCGCTGATGATCCTGCTGTCCCGTGTCGACGACCGCAAGGCAGTGCTGGGTCTCTTCAACGCTGCACATGAGCAGGCGCACGGCCAGAGTGACCCCAGCTTCCCACGGCTGGGTAACATGATCATCGAGTACGACCCGCCGCTGAAGAAACTGTCCGAAGAGTTCATCCCGCATGCCAAAGTGCTCTACTCGGCGCTGCATTCGCTGAAGGACGTGTTCCCGAGGCGCAACCTGTCCGCCGATCAGTGGCGCTCGGGGAAAATGCTGAGCCTGACGGCGAGCCCGGCGCAGATGCTGAACCCGGCGCAGACGGACACGATGCCGTGCGAGTACCTGTCGCTGGAGACGATGGAACGGTGGATCATCTTCTCCTGCCTGCTCTGTCACCAGTATCTGACGCAGCCGGTCGCCATGGACCTGTGGATCAACGCGCTTCAGTCCAGCTGGGTGACGACACTTTTCCGCGACGAGACCATCTTCATTCATTCCTATGTGCAGTCCTTCTTCGAGTCCATCAAGGGCTACGGCAAGCGGATCGCCGAGGTGAAGGAGTGCTTCAACCTCGCGGTGGCTAATGCAGGCCACATGCACCGAGAACGCCGTAAGTTCCTGCGGTCTGCGTTGCGCGACCTCGGCTTGATCTTGCATGATCAGCCCGGTCTTCTGGGACCCAAGGCGCTGTTCGTGCTCATGGCCTTGTGCTTCGCTCGAGATGAGGTCACGTGGCTGCTGCGCCACAATGAAAATCCTCCGCCCCGCACTGGTAAGGCCAAGACGGCCGACGACCTCACCGATCGCCAGTTGCCAGAGCTGCTCTTCCAAGTGGAGGTGCTGCGCGCCCTGGTGCGCAAGTACAACCAGGTGCTGCAGCGCTACTATGTACAGTACCTGTGTGGATACGACGCGATCGCGCTGAGCCACGCCATCCAACAGCTGCAGATGTGTCCCGAGGACGAGAACACGATCCTCTCGTCCATCTGCAGTACCATCACCAACCTGAACGTCAAGCAGGTGGAGGAGGCAGACATGTTCGACTTCCGTGCCCTGCGTCTCGACTGGTACCGCCTGCAGGCGTACACGTCCGTCGCCAAGACGCCGCTCAGTCTGCAGGACAACCGTGAACTGGCGCACCTGCTCAACACCGTCGTCTTCCACACCAAGATGGTCGACTTCCTCGACGAGATCCTCGTAGAAACATCTGACTTGAGCATCTTCTGCTTCTTCAGTCGGCTGTTCGAAGACCACTTCAAGATGTGTCTCGAGTTCCCGGCACAGAACCGGTACATCGTCTGCTTCCCACTGATCTGCGGCCACTTCCAGAACTGCACACACGAGCTGTGCCCAGAAGAGCGACACCACATTCGCGAGCGTTCTCTTTCCATCGTGAACATGTATCTGGACGAGATGGCCAAGGAGGCGAAGAACATCATCACCACCATCTGTGACGAGCAGTGCACCCTCAGTGACAAGCTGCTTCCGAAGAACTGTGCGAGAATGATTGTGGAAGCAGTCAACAAGAAAAAGAAGGACAAAAGCAAGAAGTCAGCACCGGATTATGGGAAACCAGGCACGGAGACATATAGGCGAACACGTGAAGATCTCACCATCATGGACAAGCTACACATGGCGCTGACCGAGCTGTGCTTCGCCATCAACTACTGCTCTACTATCCACGTGTGGGAGTACACGTTCGCGCCACGAGAGTACCTACACCAACATCTGGAAAGCCGATTCGCGCGAGCGCTCGTCGGCATGGTGATGTACAACCAGGAGACCAACGAGATCGCCAAGCCCTCTGAGCTGCTGACCAGCGTGCGCGCCTACATGAGCATCCTACAGAGCGTGGAGAACTACGTGCACGTCGACATCACCCGTGTTTTCAACCACATCCTGCTGCAACAGACACAGCAGTTGGACAGTCATGGCGACAAGACGATCACGGCGCTGTACACCACCTGGTACTCGGAGGTGCTGCTGCGCCGGGTGTCGGCCGGCCGCATCTGCTTCTCGCCCAGTCAGAGGGTGTTCGTGTCGCTGCAGGCCGACCCGGCCCAGCCGTCCGCGGAGGAGTTCACTGATGTCACTGAGCTCCGCTCACTGGCAGAGCTGATCGGCCCGTACGGCATGAAGACGCTCAACGAAACGCTCGTCTGGCTGGTCAGTAGCCAGGTGCAGGAGCTAAAGAAACTGGTGGCGGCCAACCGTGACGTACTGATCGCTCTGCGCACCAACTTCGACAAGCCAGAGACGATGAAGGAACTGGTGAAACGCCTGCAGAACGTCGACACCGTGCTTCAGCGCATGACGATCGTGGGAGTGATCCTCTGCTTCCGAGATTTGTGTCAGGAGGCACTGCACGACGTGTTGACGGAGAGGATCCCGTTCTTGCTGTCATCGGTCGAGGATTTCCAGCAGCACGTGCCTGTCAACGGCGACTCGATGCTGGAGAGCACACGGCTCAAAGTGGTCAGCGAGATGGCCTCGGCGGCCGGTCTCCACTGTAAGGTGGACCCGGTGCTGGTGAACCTGCTGAAGCCGGCGCAGAAGGCGGACAACCCCGAGGAGGAGTACCTGCTCTCCTGCCTGCTGATGGTGTTCGTTGCCGTGTCGATACCGCGACTGGCGCGCGATGACAACTCGCACTACGTCGCTGCCCTCGAGGGACACGCCAACAACACGCACTGCCTGGCCAACGCCGTCAACAGTGTGTTCGGCGCGCTGTTCAGCATCACTGGCCACGGCGACATCGAGGACCGTCTGAAGGAGTTTCTGGCGCTGGCCAGCTCGAGCCTGCTGCGGCTGGGCCAGGAGCAGGAGAAGGAGGCGACCAAGCACCGCGACTCCGTCTACCTGCTGCTGGATCAGATCGTTCAGGCCAGCCCCTTCCTCTCCATGGATCTCATGGAGTCGTGCTTCCCCTATGCGCTGCTGCGCATGTCCTACCACTCAGTCTACAAGGGTGACAACGCGCACACGTCTTGAGTGGCCTCAGGAACGTGAGCGCCCGTAGCGTTCCTCAGAGCGTGTGAACTGTTGGCTCGGTACGCGAGCTGAGCGCATTTAAGGTGAAGTGCGGCGAGTGCCGCTGCAGTGGCCCAGCTTCGCTCATGCAAGTGCGTCACGCGATTTTTTCTGCGCACCCAGCGTGTTGCCTTGAATGGCTGGCGATGGACCACCTTGCGTTCTAAGCGTACAATAGGAACGTGCTTTGCTGACGTTATTTTATTCGATGGTCGGCCATCGGGCGCATTATGAACACTGGTAGCCGTGCAAGAAATGCAAGAGTAGAAGCGCGGCGCTGTGAAGTGTGTAAAGCTTTGTGCTTGCTTGAATGCGTGTTTTAGTCGGTCGTTTTCTGAGATATGCCACCGATTTCCAATCGTTTTATTTCTGCTTTCGACGCGGTCGTGTACATATATTTCGTGCTCCAACTGCGCTCCCGGAATCAGAGCGGAGTTGTGTTTTTGTATACCAGATTCGCTGCCGCAGACGGCTTTTGGGATGTCCTTCCTCTGAAGCCATGTTCTGCCATTCCCGGCATGGACCTATTCTCTGGCCAAACGCACACTGTTATACGTACATGTGTGCCGGAACCTGTGTGGTGATTATGTTACGGCTTTTGTTACGGTCTCGCACTTTGTCTTCATCTGGCCGGATGGCTGGCGGGCCGCGGCAGCCCCCTGTTGTACCCTATGGTAGGAGGCGCCACTCCTCACTGTACACATGTGTATCATCCATTGACTCCTGCAGCAGGAATAAACATCCTATCGTGTTTAACGCATCTAGGTAAGTCATACTCGTGTTATTGATTCTGATAATGCAACAGTGTTACACAGTGGATGAATTCAATCTTTATTTGCCACTGTCAAACTGGACATTTGTTGCATCGCTACAATAAAAATGCTTAATACAACGGACGTATAAATACCAAGCTGTACATAGTAATGAACATAATTTACAACGACCAACGAGCCTCAAGGGCGGCATGGTAAAGCCGTTCGTTTCGTAACACACTGCGAAGGCGACGATATCACAGGGACCGATCACCGTTGGACAGCATTTTGTGCCCTCTAGTGACGCCGAGTACGAGCCTTGGTCCCGACCTCACGGCTAGGATCATGCCCCGGAGCTTACAGTGAATGCCTCACCAGATTACTAATGCACCCGATGCTCGAGGAAGCCAGCTCACAATAACATCAGCGGTTAGCGATGTTTCCGGCTGTTCGTCTGAACAGTCGGGAGTCTGTTCCGGTCCGATCCAGTCGCCATCTTGCCTGGTTCTAGTTGTGTCCAGCGCACACTGCTCGCCACTTGGTTACTTTATCCCCGCCGGTTCCTAAATCGCATCGTGTCACGCACGATCGCCAACGGCTGAGCGTAGAAATTGCGAGGGGCGTCGGCTTCCTTAAAGGGACACTCCCACCTTAACATTAGTTTTGAGTTGAGATAGCCAAATTGGTGGCCATGGCCTGCAAATACCGGTTTGGGCACTCACAACATCGACAAATGCTTTAATTCGGAGATATGGAATTTCAAACTTGCAGTTTTCGGATTCTAAGGGGCTAGTGCATTGGTATGCCCCCTTAGAATTTGTGACGTCAGCGGAGATCCAACGATTTTTTAATCTTTTACTAAAACGTTTGGTAGCACGCGGTGGTATATGCTGCTTTGCGCGCAACAAATGCCGCACTTTCAAATAAAGTCGCTAGGAACAGCGGAGATCCCAAAAAGTAAACAAAAGTAAAAGTCTCATATCTTGAAAACCGGTGAATATTTTTCGATGAAATTTGGTAGATATTCGTTTTCGCTCTTTCTGAACCGAGCGACATCACTTTCGTGCCAATTCATTAACTTTTTTGAAGGTGGGAGGGTCCCTTTAAGTCTTCCTAGTCTGACAATATTGTCGAGATTGCACAATCGTATTGCAGCGTAAAGACGCGAGTTGCAGGTGACATTTCGCACAATTCGCGCACTCAACAACAGCAATTACATTGGTTTATCATCTCGTCTTACCCTATGAGCAGTTTTCTGCAAAATTGCACATTTTTATGAGTCTTTGTCCATGCAGCATCTGTTACCAACGGCCATATTGGTTAGCACCGAAGTGAATGACATATTTCTCACGCGTTCACATCTTAACACTACCCTAGTCTATTAATACTAATCTCACTAGGTATGTCTTTGGTCATTGTGTCTTTAGCCCTGCCGTTCAATTATGTTTGACAGCTAATGATGGTTCAGCTATGCAATAATGGCATTCTTGCGTTTCCACTCTCCTGTTAGGTCAAAAGTGGAGTTTTCTCTCCGTAGCCTCTAAGCGGGTGTTCCCAAGACTTATACTTAATCCTATCATCCCTCCCAATCCAAGCTTATGGCACTGATCCCTTCCCAGTTATCGATCCCTCCCCTTTGTTCGTGCCATTGCACTTCCCGCCACCCGCCCAGTCCCGCAGAGCCCTGAGCCCTTCCAATGGCCGGGACAGCGCCCTCCACCATGAGGACTCGGCTCCAGTCGGGACACCGTGCTTCAGCCCCGAGCTGGCCGTGCAGCGGCTGCGCTGCGCTTAGCTGGCACGGTCCCCGGCGGGGTGCCGGAGCGTGGACCAGCCCCCAGATGAGATCAAAGGTCGTAGACAGACCGAGTCTGCCACTCCGCCGCTCAGCACCAGTTGAGCTTCACCATGGCGGTGGGCTGTTCGCGGAGCAGGCTGACGTTCCACACCGGCTCCGGCTTGTTCAGCGGCTGAAACAGCGCACGAAATCACCGTCACGACCGCACCACAAGTGGGTACACGACACGCCCGGATGGTATTGGGTAGTACAAAATCGGGGAAATGATGAGACAGAGTACGACGAAGTTTAGCGATAATTTAGAGCAACAGTCGCAATTTGAAGAACGTCCGTCCAAAGGCATTCGCCAAAATAAGTGTAAAAGCAAGATAATAAGATATGTCATACGACGAAAGGGAATTAAAGGCGAAAGGGACTTTCGTATTTCTCTCCCCCAAATGGAGAATAGCGACATGGACCAGGGGACAGTGCCCGGCTTTGTCCTGTATCTCATAAGTATAACTGTAACGATTCAGCAATGCGTCTACCATGAAGCAAGTTCAATAGTTCGCACTAGGGGACATTCCTGACCAGGGCTGCGGAGTCTGAGTCGGAGTCGGAGTCGGTCGGAGTCGGCAGTTGTGACCGGAGTCGGAGTCGGAGTCGGAGTCGATTTTAGAAACCCGAGCCGGAGTCGGAGTCGGAGTCACCGAAAATCTGTCGACTCCGCGGCCCTGCTAGGTCTGCGGAGTCGGAGTCGGGAGTTGGAGTCGGTCGGAGTCGACAATTCTGCCGGGAGTCGGAGCCGGAGCTGGTTTTTGAAAGCCGGAGTCGGATTCGGAGTCGCCGAAAATCCATCGACTCCGCAGCCCTGTTCCTGACATCCATTCCCAACATGTCATTTTCTCCCACCCGATCCAATGTCCGCCATGCCTGCGTCGCGGCGGCCGGCACTCACCCTGGGCAGGTAGTCGTACGTGTCGAGCATGTTTCGCACGGCGTTCATCACGTTATGATGGCGGTAGATGCCGGGAATCTTCAGCGTGGCCCAGTAGTCCGAGTACCACTTCATGCGCGTGCACGGGTCCGAACGGATCGGGTGCGCCAGCATGTCGGCCGTCACACGGAAACCAGCTGCCGGGCGGAGAGATATACAGTCAGTCGGCAGAGACGAACGGCGAAATCACACGCGGGCTCTTCAGGTCGACGCCATGGCTAAAGGGGAATCTCGAAAGGCAGAAGTGGTAGCCAGTACGCACGTATGCGCCAATCTCGTTTCATTACAGTTGACTGCAAAATTGACATCGCTAGGCTGCACTGTAATAACATGGAGTAAATAATACTTCATGGTAATACCATGGGTTCTCTACTCCATGGTAATAACAAACGTCAAATTTATACTAGTCAAGCGTTACCGCAGTCAGTTATCTGACGTATGTCGCTTCGATCACGTCCAGGCAAAACGGCTATCTTTCCTAACCACAAATAAGCTCGTGCAAAAAAAATCACTACCCGGCCCGGCTCACGGCTGCAGCTGAGCTCAGCAGCTGCCTCCCACGCCCCACTCACGCCTGGCGAGCGGCCGGTTGGGCAGCAGCTCGGTCGGCACCACCGGGTTCACGTGCAGCCGCGGGAACGGACGGGCACACATGGCCGGCTGGGGGCCGTCGGCGCAGTCGTACTCGTCCTCGTCATAGTCGTCGCTGCAGTCGGGCGTGCTGAAGGCGTAGGGGGCGATTCGTTAGATTATACAGCGGTCACGCATGATATCGGGCGAATAGGTACGGTACACAAGCACCAATCAATTCGCGATGCACACATAATGTACTGGCAAAAGGATATTCGGCGATGATATAGCATGTTGTCTAAATTTAACAAATTAGATGCTGGCATGCTGAACTTACAAAAATACAATCAATTCAGTCTATGCATGGTAATTGCTGGTACCAATGACATTTTAGGACGCAACACCAGTCATGAGCATTTGGTATCTATGATTAGTATAACTGAATTGTGTGCGTCATCTCCCCAGGCTCTTGACTGTCCCACTGCCGTCATTTACCCGTCCGAGTCCATCTCCGGTCGCAGGTTGACGAACTCTGAGCCGGGAGAGCCATCAGAGTAGCCGCTGGTGGTCTCGTCGGTAACGACGCGCCGGCCGCCCACACAGCGGTACACCTGAACGGGGTACGACCGTTATAACCTGTCCTACCCCCCACAGCGGTACACCTGGGCAGGGTACGACCGTTACAACCTGTCCTACCCCACACAGCGGTACACCTGGGCAGGGTACGACCGTTACAACCTGTCCTACCCCACACAGCGGTACACCTGGGCAATGTACGACCGTTATAACCTGTCCTACCCCCCACAGCGGTACACCTGGGCAGGGTACGACCGTTATAACCTGTCCTACCCCACACAGCGGTACACCTGGGCAGAGAGGCCGTCATAACCTACCCCACACAGCGGTACACCTGGGGAGAGCGAGACAGTCATAATTATAACCACTGACATAACTGGACACACAACCACCTCTATTTAGGTGAAGTCGACAAGCCGCGCGATCTTGCGTTACTCTTATGATCCTCTTAGGGGATTATATCGCGGTCAACGGTAATAGTCGCAGTACAGAACAAATAAAGTCACTGTGGAGCGGGAAGGGCCGTGTCCGTTCACGTGGGCACGATCGTTCGACTCTAAAGTTCGCCGTACACCCGTGATTTTCCGATAATTCCGATCGTGAGATAGGACTTGCCCCTACCGGCGGTACAGGGTACGAACCTTGCGCCTGGGCCGTCCGCCGGTGGAGCGCTGGGAGGCGCCACAGTCGCGCGGCGAGCCCCGGTAGCTGGTGCTGGTGAGACCAGAGTCCGGGTCCGGACGGTAGTACTGACTGCTGCGCGCCGACACACTGTCCCAACAGAGCAGACCAGGTCAGCACCAGATACAAACTAAGGCCAACGTATCTCACAGCTACACCGTGGTGCATGACATTCTTTCGCCGCAACTGTACACACCACTCGGGTAGCGTCAAACACACAAAAAAATATTTGTATGTGTTATCAGACAGCTCTGCCTCCGGCGATCCGCCTCCCGGGGACCCTGGCAGGCTACATCTGGTGGCAGTACTGATCATCTAGTACGCACCCGCGTACGGGACGGCTCGACGGACTGCAGTCGCGGAACGAAGAGTCGCGCCCGCTGCGAGAGCTGACCGAGGACAGGGCGGCCGAGCGGGCCTGGCTGCGGCTGGCCCGACTCGCCCGGTCGTGGCATATCAGCCGACGGAGGTCTGCAACACAGGAAACACAGTCAGTGGAAAAAATAGAAATATAAATGTAATGTGAATGGCCCAGACTGTAGTATCTTATTAGACATACAAAGTAAGTATTGATCTGAAGAGCTTATTCTGCACTTCTAGTGTGAATCATCTGCACCAATGCCTTAATTTGAAATAATCAATGTCTTATGGCTAATGATTTAGCAGCAAGGGGAAAGTTAATGACAACCACAATTCACAAATACCACTTTTTAGTTATCTCACAATGCCCGTTTTTTCCTGAAGAAACATTTCCTGGATAAAAATCAACTAGGTTCTTTCTTTTCTTTGTGCACTTAATTTGCAGGCACACCTTGGATCTTCTAAACAAACAGGATGCTTAGGTACCTATCTCTTAGTAACTATGGTACCTACATGTTCATAATCAGTATTAGGATGAAAAAAGCTAGAGAACATGACAATTTCAAAACAAACAAAGCCATGATATAATCAGGAAAACTTAAAATTCATCCATTGTTTCAGATCTCATTGCTGCTTATAATGGAAAGGTACACTCCAATGAAATTGAGAATTCAATGCCATTCTACACAACTAAGGAAATTAAAAAAACTTGGTGTGCTGGCCATGGTGAGGGTTTAGCATTATTTACATGAATTGAGCTTCTATGATCTTCTGTATTCTTGTTATACTGTCTTTAATCTTATGACTTGTTTCAATAGCCCAGAGATTACAGAAAATAGGCTAAAAATTATATATGTGCCCAGTGCCAGTTATAGCCTAACAAACACTTGAAACCAATGCCAGTTAAGTAGTTACAAGGTCATGATCTGTCTATTTGAAAAAGGCTAGTCTTGTCATTACCTTGGTAGGTACTCAATCCTCTAATCTGGTACCTAGGTATCCTTCCCTTTGATCTAGGCCAGGGCAGAAATGTGCCAGGGATGGGGAGAGGCTAGTTAAAGTGTGGGGTACTAAGGAAACAGTTAAATTGTTTCTTGCATTCATTTAGGCTGAAAACTACTTGAAAATTATTTATACTTGTTCTGGCCAGAGAAGTCCCATGAAGTTGAGTTCATGCCCCATGCATACCTCTACCTGGCTGTTATACCAACCCCGGACACAACCTTGACCTGAACCCACTACCCAGGCTGTAGAAACAAACAGAGGTGTAGCATTGCCATCAGGGATAGTTTTTACTGTTGCAGCAAAAGGCAAGTGGCAATGTGATATTATTGTGCAGTGAAGCATACATAAATACACGCACTTCCCCATCACTGTCCTTGCAGCTTAATTTACGTTGTTTGTGTGACTGTCTGAGATGAAATGTAAGCATTCACTTTAACATTATTATGCAAAGACCTTTGAAATTCAAGGGATGCATAAAGCATGAGCAGCCCCAAAAACTCTTTTCTCTGCCACTGGAAACAAACCTGCAGTGAATTCATCCAGCTGATGTTCAGGTATGTTCCTGTAGCCAATTTTCTCGAGCTCCCTTCTCACTTGTTGCTTTTTAGATTCGAAATTCGACATATTCTTATGATTGACAGAAATACACTTATTTCCCAACCAGCTTCAAAGCCGGGCGGCGGGCGCCACAATGCCAATGCGATCAGTCAGAATTGAGAATCCTTCCTATCGTAATCGCACCCACAGCCTGCTCTTATGGAAGTCTTGTTTTTAGGGAAGTAACGATTAATTTGACATGCACTTGACTCGTATACTTCAAGTTAAATAACAATATTCCACCCCCCAATACCAGCAACTGCAATCCGCGTTCGATTCATCGATGATCAAGAAGTATTTTGTTTTGTTTACACTTCCCGCTTTTGTTACTATGGAGACGAGTGCTGCCAAATTCCTTCATATTTTTATATGCCTTTATTCGTAAAGTAGGGGAAATTGGGTATTATCGGACGGGTAACTTCAAGCCATCGTAACATGAAGGTTATCATTTTTATGTAACTGGGAGTCATTTAAATATATGTAGAAAGCCCAAAACTTTGAGAAAAAAAGTTACTTGGGTATTATCGCCTCGGACAGCAGCAGCAAATTACGGACGGGCGTCCAAATGGATCCATTGTTTTCAAGAATGACCGGGGCAGCCCGTTGAATAAAAATAAAAATGATATAAGTTTTTACAAAAACGCAATTTTCAAAAAAGGCCATCGATCGATTTTGATAAAAATTACATTTTTGGGATTCAGCTCACCGTCAGCTTTCGAATGGTATATACCGTTTCTTTTGAGCCTGAGATGACCTTCCGACGATGACGAACCGTGGGCCGGCCGGCCGTGCGGACGCTTTTGCGAGGCTTATAAGTTATAACGCTTATAACTCAGCAACCACTTGACCGATTTACATGCGGTACTTTCTGTAGGGTCAAGTGGTGAGTTTATCTGGAATTTCGGAAATGTAGCTCTAAAGCAGGTATCGCGTGCAGTTAGTAACCCGTTTTGGAGAGATGTGGTAACTACATGGATTCGTTTCTCGAAAATGTTTGATACTCCAGCTGAGCTGATCTTTAATGAAAACATATTTAAATCTGACTACACCAAATTTAAGACCTTACGATATGCCAGCTGGGAGAACAATGGTGTGTATGTAATTGGAGACCTTTTTAAAGACAACAGGATTTTAACTTGGGAAAGCTTCAAAGAACTATACGGTATACCTTGCAACTTTCTTGACTACTATAGCCTAGTACGCAGCCTGCCGAGGGCGCTGCAACGAGATCAGCCCACGGGTTGGTTTTACCACCGCCCTTCCATAACGGCGCGTATCTTTTACGTCTTAAGAGCATCCAGCTTTACTAGTATATTCGCAAAGCAGGCTGTAGAGCATAACGGAAACGCCAGAAGAGATATGGTAAGAATAAAAGAAAAATGGTTAAGGGATACCCGACACTTCGAACCACTATCAGTACTGACAGTGAAAAGCAGCATCTCTGCGACACGTTATACATCTTTCCAATATAAACTTGTGATGAGAGTTTTAACAACAAACACTTTTTTGTATCTAATAAATTACAGTGAGAGTGATCAATGCACTTTTTGTGCTTCGGCATCTGAGACGTTGTTGCATTTATTTTTGTTATGCAATCATGTTCAAAGTTACTGGAACGATATACTAACCTATGCATTAAGGAACGGACTCGGATTAATCGACGATAAAACAAAGATGTTTGGTGATGACAAGAGTCAGCTGATAACACACTTAGTCACGCTGGCAAAGTATGTTATATATGCGAGTCGCCGTGAGGGAACGCAGCCGTCATACAGATATTTTTGAGGATGTTTGAAGCGCGATTTTCAAACCGAAGGTTTCATCGCTGCGAAAAATAACAGCTTTGACGCATTCAACAAAAAGTGGGGACCGCTGAAACGCGATCTAAGCGATCAAACTGAAAATCAGCCACCGCTCCTATGACCCATCCGGGCCAACCCGGGACCGGCCTCTTTGACTGGGGCCGGTCGGCCGGCCGGGCGTGCGGGGCGCCGGCACTACAAGTCGACGGCTCGCACGCCCGGCCGGTGGATAGGGGGCGCCGCCCGCGATACCCCTTCGCCGGGCGGTGCGGGCGGTGGCTGATGACCCGCCACCGGAAATCGCATTCCATTAACATCCTTCAAAATGTTTCCATCCTTTTGTACAATGCAATTCCTATAGCGTGCGCGATGGTGTCGAGGGGCTGGACTGGACGGGTGGCGGCGGGGTGGGTGGGGTGGTGGCGCCATCTGCCCGACCCCCAATTGTGCCGTCTAAGCTGAGAAGCAGAGCTGAGTGAGAGTCTGGCCCGCCTCCGCCGTCCGTGCTGTCGTGGTTCGTCTCGCCTTTCCGTGCTGCCGTGGCCGGCCGCACCGCGGCCGACACGTCCGCCCAGGTTTGTTTCCGCCGCCGCTATGAAGATGGCACCTTCACTGATTTTCCCGGACGAGCGAACAAGGGGAAGTAGGGGAGACCCGGGAGGTATGGGCCCCCTGGAGGTATGGGCCATCGCAGTTTTGAAGAAGTGTTGCGTATTTTTACACATTTGACCGCGTAAACTGGTAGCAGCCATTCCGTCATACAACCCACATGATTTTCAAAATCTTCCTCAGTCTTCTTTGGCAATGAGAGGTGATAAAGCGTTTTTGCCCTCTTCGAGTAAAATATGGCACATACAGAAAATTCGTGATAAATTTGAAACATGCTCCTTCTATGATGTCAGACCATCGCTAACATAAAGTGTAAAGCATGCGAATTAAGACTGGATAGACAATTTGACGCTGTCTTGCAAGATTATGAGCTGAGATGCTACGCACATTCTGGCGTCCTAACCGGGAGGTTCGGGCCACCTTCCCCCCCCCCCCCGTGATCCTAAATCAATAAACTGATGCTTTCATTGACTGTCTTCTTCAAAAAGTTTTAGTTTTGTCGCGCAAGGTCGAAAATTTAACTACAAATTCATTCCATTCGAACAGAAATATTATTTATCTTATTTCATGGAGCATGATTGAGTTTACCAAAATAGATGTGTGCCCAAGTGACCTCCATGAAGTAAGCTGTTGGCCGCTTATGCGGTTCCTGGGCTCTAAGAGAGATCAAGGTAGATACCAGCTGCGAGTATTGTTTTCATTGTCGAGAAAAGAATATGAACCATGGCACCGGCCCATACCTCCCGGGCCATGGCCCATACCTCCCGGCGTGTTTTGATGGATCGAAAAACCGCATGATTTATTGAAAGCTGTCTCGAGACAAAATAGTTGAGCCCAGATGCCTAATATCAGGCACACTTTGCAGGCGAAAGGCAATTTCACGTACACAGAGTGAAAACCGGGGTATAGCCACTGCACACTGGAAGAAAATTGCCTTTTCACAAAACCGGCCCATACCTCCCGGGTCTCCCCTATGTAATGCATATGTATGAAGTAGATATAGGTATGTAGGTCGTGTATGATTCGAAATGTGGTGCATCAAATAAACAGTGAAAAAAAAACTTTCTGTAGGGTAGCTTCAATCCTTCTACCAAGAAGGTATTGGACTATTCCCGATGCATGTGGTTGACCCCTTATGCACGTGCCACGCCAAACGCCTTTTGGTTGGGGCGACCAACGGAGCGTCGCTCCGCTGGTCGCCCCAAAAGGCGTTATACTGGATAGGCGTTATACCGTTTACTGTTCGTACTGCTGTTGCTGGTACATACCCAGCCAGCGCCAACAGACGCTCTCCATATGTAACTATGACACATCGCCCCCTCACAGCTGTGCCACCGAGTCGGCGTCTGTATCTGAGTGGAGGTGACTGCACACGTCAGACGTACCAATGAAGGCTGACGTCGACCACGGAGAGTGACGGGCTGCACCTGCCTGCCACCGGACGGCGGGGGGTGGGGGGGGGGGGGGCAGGGCAGCAGTACCGCGGCAACTGACTGCAGACACTGACACCCACCGGTGGATCCAAGGGTGAACATTTGGGGCAAGTGACCCCTCCACCCCGCAGTGCCCGACATTGATGAAAATTTTACGTGTTCTCCAGAATAGGAATCAAATGTCTTAACCCGCGCCCTGATGGGGTCTGCCGAGCAACGCAGTCTGATGGGGGGGGGCATTTCCCCCCCTCCTAAGATCTCGAGAACCACGCAACATAGCGACAAGCGGTAAACGACGTTGGATAGCCCCAACGGGGAACTACCTTGCGACCCAATTTCATTGACCTCGGTCAAACCGATGACGTCGTAGGTCAGGCCAAAGGTCCAATTTTCACCGTTTACAGGCATTTCAAGAAATGCGTTGTAAAATCGAGTAAAATGCATTTCATTGAAAATCATCGATGGGGAAATGTTCTTCAAACACATATTTTGCTATTTGAGGTCACTGATACCAGGTCAGGTCACAGAGGTCAGGTCACTGGGGGGGGGGGTCACAATATGAAAGTGTAGTATGATACATGTTTTATGGTCCATTTTACATGACAAATGCGATAATGTGGGTCAGGCAGACTTTTGGGCCAGCTTAGGTCACGTTTTGGTCAAGGTCAGGTCAAGATCAGGTCAAGGTCAGGCCAAATTAGGTCAAATTTCAAAGTTGATATTTTTGCATAAAATGGGTATCGATTCGATGCAGCTCGTCACGGGGAGTTCAATGGTGGTCTCCGTTTTGCGCTACGAGGTCTAGAATTGCTAAAAATGGAGTTCAAAAATTTGACGTCATCAATTTTTAACAGTTTTTTCGCTATAGGTAACTTGGCCAAAAAAGAGGTATCGATCTAAAATTTGGTATGTATATCGAAGAGCGCAGGGACTATCAAATTTATTCCGTTTTTTCGAAATTCGAAAAAAATTGGAAATTTTTTGAGTTTTTCTAAAAAAATCAATTTTTTTTTGGGGGGGGTCAAAATCCCAAAATTGCGAAAATCCTAGATAGCAGTTTTGTAGCGCCGTCTTTTCTCTACACAACCGCATAAAGAACTTTAAAATTGCTTGTTAACTGTATAATTGGTGAGCGTTTCAAGATGTCATGTTTTTTGCTCATTTTCACTCGAACATGACCTCAGTTTAACCTCAATAACTCCTGACCTGAGGTGACCTGTGGCTTGAAATTTTGTGTGAAGGTGTCAAATTGATGCCCGGTAAGGTACCCAAAATTTGGCGGCGCTGCGCGCCGCCGTTTTCTCGCTATTTAAGAATAACCACAGGGGGGGCCAAAATGGCCCCCCCATCAGGGCGCGGGTTTTAACCATGCATTGCGGCATAAGTGTAACTTTATATCTCTTTGTGGGTGCTGTGCTCAAGCACCCCCAATCCTGAGCTCAGCACCCTCTGCCTCCTTAAAGCACCCCCAGCCTCCTCAAAACACTCCCAGCTGACTCAAGGCCCTCAATAATAAGCATTTCCATCTCCTAGTACGTACTGTAATGAGCTCAGTGAATCATGCAAATGCTATGCTTACTCAATTCAGTGACTAAGAGAATATACATTGAATAAATTACCACAAATTAAGATGCATGATATTTGTTTACATTACATCTGATATTATGGTGCTTGGGACAAAGTAAGATCTCCAATGTAACATAAATGAAGGTTGGCAAACAATGTCAATGGCTATAAAATTTATCGACATTCACAACACCATATTTAGTTCCTCTGTTTGGGTAAAAGCATATAAGCAGCCGCCAGCCTAACAATATCCAATTTTCTGTAATATTCTAAAAATTCAGTACAACCTGGGTCAATGAATCAAGAGGGACATGACAGAGAGATCCCATAGGTGTCCAGCTCCAGTGTTCGGGAGTACTGGAAAGCCTCACGTCGGAAGGACGTGGAAGGGTGGTAAAAGTCCACCGACGGACCTCGTGCCAAAAATTGATTGCAGCACAACCGAGGAATATGCACAGAAAGACAGTTCTTTACGGTGTTCACTCTCCCGAAGGGCACATGAAACAAGCCCGTGCGGCGGTTACGCCTCCCAGGAACATTAACCCTCGCCGGCACAGGCCAATTTGCGTCCTTCGACGGCACATGGGGGGGGGGGGGGTACGACCCCCCTCGCGTTTGGCTCCTGATCAAGCTAGAGCTTCGAAGAAAAAACGAGCGTGCTGCCCGTCACGCGAGGAAGCCGATGATATCCAATTATAAGGGCCTAGCTAGGTCATCGGTTGACCTTCCAGGTCAGGTCAATGACCCAAAAGTCGGGAAAATCGGGACCTGTTAGAAAGTCGTTAAGTGTGGCTGCCATGTGGTTTTCCGGGGTGCTGATCACGAATATCGTGTTAGTTTTGATCACAGATGATGTCTTTGGGCATTTAGACCAGGTCGGGTCAGGTCAGGTCAGGTCATGTCAACCGGTAGGGGTCGTGACGGGTATTCGTAGTACGTGTCAACCGCCTCTGACAGCTTCGTAACATGTTACGAAGGCACCAAAACTATATCGTAAATGTTCAAATGGTTGCTAAATTCGAATTCAGCTAAAAAAAAAACTAGCCTAGGCTAGAAACATGTAAACTCGAAAAAGTGAACCAAGGGCACCGGAAGGTCAGGTCAGGTCATTGACCTTTGGTGACCTCGGTTCACTTTTTCGAGTCTACACGTTTCTAGGCTAGTTTTTTTTCTAGCTGAATTCGAATTTAGCAACCATTTGAACATTTACGAAGTAGTTTTGGGGCCTTCGTAACATGTTACGAAGCTGTCAGAGGCGGTTGACACGTACCTACTACAAATACCCGTCACGGCCCCTACCGGTTGACCTGACCTGACCTGACCCGACCTGGTCTAAATGGTTAAAGACATCATCTGTGATCAAAACTAACACGATTTTCGTGATCAGCACCCCGGAAACCCCATAGCAACCAGAGTTGGCCTGCGCTACGCTACGTTACGCACTACGTTACGCTACGTTTGCTTTTTTGGCCAAAACTACGATACCGAATTACGATACGTTATTGCTACGTTACTGAATTACGGTATTTGTTAATTAACGCAGCAAATTATTTTATCGTACAACGTTATGCAATATGTCATCATCCACTACCCAGTGGAAACGGTTAGTCTCTTAGTAAGCCAAATACTGCGCAGTGCGCACAATTGATCGCCGGCTTTGCAGCATCGTCGCGTCGGTGCGGCGGTGCCTACGCGCTACTCGCTAGATGCGCTGGACTTCCGACAGGGAATTAATTCCCTGGGACTCCCCAGTGGGAAATCCCCGGTGTCGGTCTGGCCGGAAGAAAGACTCAGTGGTATTCATATAGCAGGCGTCTCACATCCTTGTAAACGGCCGGAGGTCTGGTGACGATATGAGTAAACTGAAAAAATTATGTACCTTATACAAATACAGCTGACCTGTAATTGCTACGGAATCCATTTCGTAGTTCCTACGTTATTCTATTATTTTCCGTACTACGCTACCGAAACATCCCAATTACGCTACGAAACGGTACTGACAGCTACGGGTTACCGAAAACTTCAAAATAACGTAACGTAGGCCAACTCTGATAGCAACCACACTTTACGACTTTCTAACAGGTCCCGATTTTCCCGACTTTTGGGTCATTGACCTGACCTGGCCAGGTCAACCGATGACCTAGGACCTTAAAATTGGGTATCATCGGCTTTCTCTCGTGACGGGCAGCACGCTCGTTTTTTCCGTGAAGCTCTAGCTCGATGAGAGGCCAAACGCGAGGGGGTCTTACCAACCCCCCCCCCGCTCCCTTGTGCCATCGAAGGATGCAAAATGGCCTGTGCCGGCGAGGGTTAAAGTTCCAGGGACAAAATGCAATATTTCACGAGAATCATGACCGGAGAGTAACCATCGAGCCTGTCCCGTCAGGCGTCATGTTGGATAGCCCTCAGGCCTCAATATAAGCTCATTCGTGCAGAGCTTTGCAGACCAGGCTGCCTAAGCGCGGACCTACCAAAAGTCCGGTAGGGCCTGAATTTAAATTTTAAACCCAGCGTGTTTTGAAATATGTTCAAAAACTTCCGTGATTATTAATGCATTGGGTGAGCCAAATTCGTTTTACAGTGACGTTATTAAAACAAGCTCTCGAACCGATTTAACATCATTTCTTGCATGATGCCTGATGGCTACAGTAGGGGAGAGTGGGGAAAGATGCCCAGGGTTTTGCTATGTCATATATTATTCGAAAATGACGATGGGAAAGCAAAAACTTGGAGTTTCAACGGAAGCCGACATCATTTTTCTCCAAAAATATCACACTTTCGTGCCTGAAATATTATAACTTTTTTTGCTATTAAGCATTTTCCTGAAGAAGTGAAAGGGGGCATCTTACCCCACAGGGTGGGAAAGACGCCCCCTGACGTTGGGAAAGATGCCCCCTGCACTATAAGTGACATAAATGGGCACGTGAATCGCCTGAACGAATCAGTAGTCCCTTCGAGCCTGCAGTAGACACCAAACGTCATCATAAGGGCCCTCAAAAGTAGTCGTAAGGGGCTTCAGAGGTCATCGTTAGGGCCATCATAGTCCAGCGCGGCCAAATAAGCCTCCGTGGTGGCGTTCGGAGACCACTGTGGGGCTCTTATAGGTCTTCATGATGCTTGAGGGCCCTCGAGCCCATCGTGGGGACCTCCGATGCCAGCGCGGCCCGTGGGGCCAACGTGGGAGCCCTCAAAGGATGTCGTGGGGGGCCCTGGAGTCAATAATGGGGCCCACAGAGGCCGTCGTGAGGGCTCTCAGAGTCAGATGCCGCCCAAAAAGTCGCTGTGTGGGCCGAGAGACCGGCATGGGGAGCACCCGACCGTACTGGACTCTCAATAGTCCCAGATCGGCTTTTGTCTACATCACAAGTATGTAATAAATAATTTGACGGGCTGTTTGAAGGACAGCCTACGGATTTAGGGGGGCATCTTTCCCCATCAGGACAGGGGCATCTTACCCCAAGGTACCGAAGTTTCATTAAATCAGTACAAATGATGATTTGGAAAACTACACCCATGCTGATTGCGGAAAAGTTCGTTCTAAACTGCACAGCATTCAGCAATGCATAATAAATCGAGATAAGAACGTTTTTCGCAGTTGGATAAACCTTTGTGGGGCTTTGCCCCTCCCTCTCATATAGGCGGCGGAACGAGAGGGGCACCGGGGCACCGTGCCCGCTTTGATTTTGGCATTATAACAATTAACATAAGCCCTATGGGCGTTGCATGGAAAGAATGGGACCAAAAGTCGGCAGTGCCCCCCCCCCCTCCCCCTTAATTGAAGATGTTCCGCCGCTACTGGGCACCGGTGCAGACTGCAGATATTGACATAGGGCTCGGTGCTTACTGATACCAGCACCTCGTTGACTGACACGGATGTACCGTATTTGTGTCCTGATAAGCCATAAACTTTGTGCTTATTCAGCCAATTTTTATTGCTCTCTTCTCCGCCTGGGCTAGGTCGTGCGACGGTGGCGCCCCTGGCGGCGGCTGCCGGCGGCGGGTCGGGAACTCTCGGCTCGCCGCTGACCGCAGAGGAGCAGGCAGTCGGAGTCGGGTCGCCGAGGTGCGTGTGTGGTGCGTCTGTGTGTCGCTGCTGAGCGGTGCTGGCTGCAGCTCGGTGCGGTGTGCGTTCTGGGAGGACCACTGGATGGTCTGAGGAGAGGAGACTTTTACAGGTGGGTCGCCTGATTTCGATCACTTTAAGTGCCAATTACGCGTGTCAATGTGTAAACTTACAGCGACTGATTACACTGTAAAAAATATTGACGAGCTATGTGTCAAAACAAGGGTCTCGAAACAGTCACCAGGTTGTCAATGCTTCCGGTACCTACCACTTGACTAGTTACCGCTTAGTTAGCTTACAGGCTGAGAACTATCCAGATCGTTATGATCCGGTATTGTAATGATACCCTAGGTGTACCTTTGTTTTGAAGTGCTGAATTAACTATCAAGGTTGTTTGACGTTTGTTTTCGCCTCAATCCGAAACGAGGAAGACCCTCATCAAATTATTAGGTGAAAGCCAGCCTCAGGATGATCAAAATACTAGGGGTAGTTTTGTCATAGTAATCTGTGAAGGTTGAGGAACAAGCCGTAGCAATGCACTCGTCACTAAACCAGCCTGAGATTATTCGCCAGGTAGCGGCTGCGTTTCCCTACTTGCTGAATCATGTTAGCAACTTTCCATTTCCAGACACTTTTTACGGCAAATAAATTGTTGGGTTATTTGGAAGGTGAATGACAATTTTATTTCTATAAGTCAATACATTTGTATTTCCGATTGCCCTAAAACTTTTTTTTAATCGTTTGCGGTAGGTTTTTATTGTTCGCAATAAAGTTGCGCACCTGTGAATCCTTCACTTAAAGGGACCCTCCCACCTTAACATTAATTTTGAGTTGAGATAGCCAAGTTTGCGGCCAGGCTCAGAAACCACCATTTATTCTGGTCGCAACCCCCGCAGCTTTATGGTGTTCAAGAAATTTCTTCCCTTTACTTGCAGGGTGGGACCAGCGTGGTCCCTATCTCTTAACCATTACGGGAGTCTGATGACGTCATCAGGCTTTCGAACGTCCGTTAAATGTTTGACTAAAACGTTTTGCAGCACGCGGTGGTATATGCTGCTTTGCGCGCAACAAATGCCGCACTTTCAAATAAAGTCGCTAGGAACAGCGGAGATCCCAAAAAGTAAACAAAAGTAAAAGTCTAATATCTTGAAAACCGGTGAATATTTTTCGATGAAATTTGGTAGATATTCGTTTTTGCTCTTTCTGAACCGAGCGACATCACTTTCATGCCAATTCATTAACTTTTTTGAAGGTGGGAGGGTCCCTTTAATGCGTTCCCGGCTTCCCGGCGCCAGCTGTTGCGCTGTGCCGTGCCGCGTTCGGTCGGGGGTGCGCGAGTCTGTGCAGTGCGAGTGTTTATCACTGGGCAAACCTGTATCGTTTCCATTTGTGCAGTGTCTAGTTATGAAGAATTGCTTGCCGATATATGACCTGCAGTGATCGACGTTCTGATTCAATAACTTGCCATAAGCCATTATTCTCAACGAAATCGCGCAGAGACGTTTGCAAAGTTGTCGAGGGGGGGGGGGGGCGAAACAAGAGCGATTTTAAATGAATTGCTCTCCATGCAGTGCAATAGGACTTAGGTTTAATTTTTCGAAAGTTGTGGAGCCGCCCCCGGTGTCCGGCCTGGCCAACTCTCTCAAGAACCGACAGCTAACGGAACACTGAAGTTTCACTACGACGATTTCCGCCAAAGTTATGAAGAAAGGGCAAGTGCAAGAAGTACAAAACTTCTCTTGGTAATCAAAACTTAGGTTTGGCAAATTCCAAACCCTAAGTCACTACAACTGTGGATATAAATAAGCTGGTTATTGACGGCCAAGCTCTGGCCAATCTGAGGTTCAGACCTATCATCAAGTTCATGAGGCAGCTGCGGTTGGGCGGCTCACGGGCTCCACTGCATAGGCTCAGACAGGTACTCTACAAAATGTCGTCTGTGTTCTTAGGTTCAGATCTATCGATAGGTATGTGCATGCTTCTGATTCGATTGATAACTGTAAACGGGCGCTGGAAGTGAAAGATTGGCTTGATATACGAAAGGTGCATTGCAAGAAAGCATATTATTTCAGAAATACACTTTCATTTTATCTTGAGCGTTTTTGGAATGGGCCGGATGAAATCGTCATCAAACTGGTAAGGGATTTCGTTTGAAGACCACCGATATTTAATAATATGATGGTCTTCAAACGAATTCGCTGGCAAATTCGATGACTGGATTGGGCGGCGTAGGATCTGCTGGTCATCTGACTATGGGTTGAGCAATACGTTAGTTTTGACCTAGTTTGAGCTTCATTCGTTAAGTAGGAACAAGACGATGCTTCTTTTGAGCATCGTCACTAAACAAGCCGCCCTCGTTTTGACATTGTTTTTCGTTATTATTGTTACTAGGTACTTTGTTATCATACACAGCATTAACGAGGACCTGCTTCCAAAACAAGGCAGAAACGCTCCAGCTATTTTTGGGACGTGGTAAAAACTAACCGACACCTGGTAACTGTCATCTGACGAACACAAAACAAGCCAGGGGCTCGCAGCGTGTGTCAAAAGTAAGATGCAAAACTAGTCTGTACCCCCGACATTTAGCGTTGAGAATCATTTGACGAGGGGCTAGTCAATATTTTTTACAGTGTAGGGCCTATCTGGTTTTTAAGATGCACAAAATAACGCGAGAACTGAGCCTGTCCTCCAATAGCTTGTCGACCCCGTTCAACTACCGTTATTGGCTGGTGAATCCGGTGCGTGCATAATTACATACATCTCAATCTCCGTTAGCGAGACTTCGTATTGGTATGTATCCGCAACACTGACTGGCTTTGTGTCGGCCAACACTCCGAGTTGGGCTCGGGACCACCTTACCGAACGTAAGTATTGCTCCGTTCTAGCACCTGGCGGCCCTGGAGCACTCTACCATTGCAGCTGAGTGCTCCCTCCCCCGCACAGCCGGTAGCTGTGACCCATGGACTCGCTATTTTTGCGGCACCGCGTTATTTTGTGTCGTCAAGGGTGGTCAACGTCACTGGTCAATCCCAGGGCGCCCTGCTCAGGAGTCGGGTATCGATTTTCGCCAAGTGTCTGACCGGGTCATGCGTTATTACTTATTCACCATCTAGGATAGGTCAGTGTCGTACCTTGTGCCGCTCGATGGTTTTCTGGGCCGGTCATTGGTGGTTCGATGGCGCTTGTAGTTGTAAAATGCTCTGCGTTTTCTTATTTATCAACCTAATTATTATTAGGGAAGTTCAGCCCATGCAGATGCACCGGACAAAAAAACAGTCGAACTGTCTTAAAAAGTTCGAAGCTGTTCATTTGTCCACAATACAGGCATTCTCCAACAAATTCCTAAGACGCGGCCTTTGAAACTCACTGACTAATCGTCCACAAATTTCGACTAATGTAGTTACGACGAAATATATAGTCTGTTTTCACAGTGTATTTTTTTTTCTTAGCGATAAGTATAAAGGATATTTTAGACATTCGTCGGGCTCATGCCTGACAAATTTTACCCACTTCTTCCAACGCGTCTGTCTGAAAAGATACCAGTCTTTGCCCGCGGTACTTTACTCAGCTTCTTCTGCCGACCTCGATACTAACGATCGCCCAGTCGCCAAGTATGACCTCGCTACCAGCTCCCTGTCTGGCCAACATCAATACCCGGCCTAACCGCCCCGTCGGCTGGTCGACCTCGCGGCCCGCCGCTCCCCTGCCTCCCTGCATCCCCAATTCTGCGTCTGCACACTGCACAGGTGACCAGCAGCTGGTCGGGCCCGCGGCACCTGGCAGCCACAGCGGCCCTTTAACGCGGCCAGTTGGGCGGGGTAGCCCGGCCGGGCGGAGTGAAGCCGCGCCCCGAGGTGCTCTGGTTAGCGAGAACAGAGCAGTAGCAGAGGGATCTTTGGCGCTGCGGCAGCGGCCACTGAACACTGACAAAGGCACCAAGCAGTCACAGCAGCTCGCGAGGCCGAGGGCGCGCGCAGGGCGGTGACGCGCCGTGACGCGCCCAGGAACAATCGTCCGTCACGCTTCGAGTCACAGTGGCGTCACGGAACACGCGCGCGCCGGGCGGCGGCCGTTAGACGCCGCGTCCGGTGGCGGAGACAAGCGGAGACGGGACGGGCGTAGACGGGACGAGCGGAGACGGGACGAGACGGAGACCGAACGGCATCCTGGCGAACGGAGACGGGACAGAGATGAAGTGAACGAACACATGACAGAGACAAACCGAGTGGATATAGAACGAGTGGAGACAGGGCAAACGGAGACGGGACGAGCAGCGACGGAACGGACACCAAACATGGACCGATCGTGGGCCACAAAACGAGACATTTCAATGATATGAATTTTGATTCACATCATATTGAGCTACTCGTAAATCGACATCCAAATCTCAACCACGATACTGGACTGCTCTGTTGACGTATAAGAGTCGAGTCGGAAACAGAAGTGAAGCCGTATTCGGCATAGTCCGGGGCTGGGGCTGGGCAGGTCCCGTTCTGAAGAGGTGCGCACCCCGACCGCTGCACCGCCGAGCGTGTCGGCCGGTGTTAGTGCTGGGGGGGGGGGGGGGGCAGGTGAGGAAGGGGGTCGCCGGATCAATAACGACGCTGGACGCCGGTAGTGTGGCCCTGGACAGCTGGCCGTGCCGCCCTGGACAGCTGGCCGCGCCGCCCTGGACAGCTGGCCGTGCCGCCCTGGACAGCTGGCCGTGCCGCCCTGGACAGCTGGCCGTGCCGCCCTGGACAGCTGGCCGTGCCGCCCTGGACAGCTGGCCGTGCCGCCCTGGACAGCTGGCCGTGCCGCCCTGGACAGCTGGCCGTGGGTGGGTGGGTTGTCAGACGCAGTAGGGGTGATGTCACGACCCCACAGACCCGCCGTCCCCCATGCACTGACCGCAGGGGTGCGATGATGTGTCGGTGCCAGTTGATATACGGCACGGCTCCATGTCTGGTAAATAATGACGTCACTGGTTGTCCGGGCTGTCGGCCCCGTCTGGTGAGATAGCCGGCAGGTCAGACGATCGTCGGATTCCCGACCTGGCCCGCAGGAGGACCCGTCTGGCCAGGGGGCACCGAGTGGACGCTGATCAGAGCCCGGTTAGCCAACCGAATGAGC